TCCTTTTTGCACAATAAAAGAGGAACAGGAGTTTTGTGCACAGCTACATACAACTGTAACTGTTTTTAACCTCGCTGGATTTGAACAGTCAGAGAAAAAGCCCAAATCTCTTAACCGGCACCTGCGGACGGTCCTGCTTCAGTCCTGCATCGTGTCTGTCCTCGTTCTGCAGCCTTTTACTTTTTCCCACTGGGTTTTAGAGTTATTCCTTGCCGATAAGGAGAGTGGTGATGATCCAGGACACTCAACATTCAACAACATTTATGGACATTGGTCATCTGCTTCTTATGGACCAATACCAATATGTTTTCTATCACTGCATTTCTTGTTTTTGAACTGTTTGATTCTCTGATCTGTGTTGGCAAATTCAACAGTTGTGTGAAGTCCCCCGAGATAACAACTGTTGTGATTTAGGGGAATACATTGAATTGAATTAAATTAACTAATACCATTGTGTGACCTGCCTAAATTATCCAACATGTTGTTGTTAGGGTTAGTGTGTATTTTGGCCTTTGTGGTTATGAGAATGGTGAATACTGCAGCAGGTCTGACTACAGAGGGCGATACAGGAGGTCACAAACTGTGGGTGGACAGAACTACTGCAGGGAGAATAACACAAGAAGTATGTTTTCACTCTCACATCTTTTACTTTATTCAAATTCAGGGAGCAGCCAGGTCGACGTTTTTAACTCGGACTCTGATTTGTGTCTGACTTGTGTCCGAGGGAGACATCCGAGCTCCAGGATCGTTGCAAATATAATTCCGTGAGAACTTTGTTTTGCTTTTCTTTCGACATGTTCAGACTGTCATTGTGAAATACTGCCTGCAAGTTTTCAATCCAACTTTGAGTAAAAAGCAAATTTGGAAAATATGAGCACTTTCACACTAAAAATACAAAAATGATGCAACTTTTTATATAGAAAAAAGGTGACATTTTTGCGTATTTGATCTTGTAATGAGCCAGTGATTGTTTGAGACATAATCATGGTGTCTTGCTGGTCTCTAGGATGCTATAGGGCCAATTGTTTTGGAAGGTTTTCTCTCCTGTGGGACCCCTGCACCAGAAAACCTACACAACAATTGATCTCGGAGCATTGGACGACACAACCCTGATTAAAAGTAAGGCCTCACACTGCAAAAAGTGAGTAAAGCCTGGTTCAGGTGCAGGATAATTAGGCCAATTTTGGACCCGATTTGCCCCTAACGACAATCTTAAGAACGCTCCGAATATCGTGACAAAAAATCTGATGGATTTTCCTGCCATGTGTGGTGTCTTAAGACGGCGCTCGTCGCTCAGAAGGACTTCGGGACTGCTCCGATCTCAATATCGGGGGCATCCAACATGTTGGATTGTTTTGGCCCGATTTCTCTTCGTGTGTGGTGTCCCCCGAGGACAGATGAGCGCGTTGCCATTACTGCGGCGTGTAGCCAATCAGAAGACGAGACGAGGCGGCGAGGAAACGCCGTAAAAAAACAACTCGCCTCCATATCACGATGTAGCAAGTATAGTCCATGCTCGCGTTGTCTACACTTCACTAAAGTGACAAAATTATGACCAGGATATGTAGACAACACTATTGGACACTCATTTATACCGTTTATCAGCAAAAAAAGTGGATTTGAAGGTGAGTTGTTCTTGAAGCACATTGACTGCCACAAGATTTGCCAATAGGACAAGCACAATTATCTCGTTTTAAAAAGATACAAGAAGAGTCTCCCTTGGAATGATAAAAAATAAGCAACAGTTCTTGAAATACAATTATACAAGTGGATATAAATTTGAAATACATAAAGTTTATAAACTTGAGAACAGAACTGCAGAGCCGGAAAACGTCCCTCTGTGATTAGGCTGTCACTAATAAAACATAACGTCAAAACAATTAAAACACACACTGATGAAAAGAACTAATGTAATGTCAGCATAATAAAGAAACTATTATTCCAGCCTGACACAATCAATCTGTTGTCCAAAACATTTTAATTCTATGGAAATTTGTTTGGCTAGGCTTCCATTTCTACATCACTCTTACGCACTCGCAGCTATAGCATTAAATCCTCATCTCCAAAAACCCAAGCCTCTTTTATGTCGTGAAAATGATGAGTTTTTAGCGGCGCCAAAGAAACTTCATAATTGAGGACGGGCGTGGCGACAGCAAAGAGAAAGACAAAACATGTTGAGGAGCCAACTCTCTGAACAACAATGTCAACAAGCAAATGGCACTATTCAGATTAATGCACAGACAATGATAGCAGACTGGGCCTATCTATCCAATTATGTGTGGGAATTACATTTGGAAGCAGTCAGGTAGAACTGACAGAGATGATTGGCCGGCGCTGCGCAGAGGCAAAATGAAGATTGTTATGACAAACACATCTACCCTTGTCAGAGGAGGGGACTGAAGTTATCACAATGTCACTGTGGCTGCTTGTGTTTTTGTTAGCTTTTTGACTGATGTAAATATCTACTTTGTTCAGACAGACATGTTAATTATGAGTCCGTCTTGTGCTGTGCTGTGTGGGTTTATTACTCTAACACGTACTGCTACCTGTCTATGCTACATTTACACCGCATACTTACACAAAACGTCAAAGGGAAATGTTTCAATAGTGAAATAACAGCTGTAGCTTTTGACTAGAGGTCCACCAATACGGGTTTTTTCTGTTGAGAATTATTCAAATGTAACCTTGACTCAATTATGTACATGAGGTGTGAGCTCAGCCCCAGGTCTCCAGGAAGTCTGCCCATTGAAATGAATGGTCTTTGCTCATTGGCGCATGCTCACACCGTTGCTGTCCCAAACAAGAGCAGAGGTGATGCATTTTGGCAAACTGTGGTTCTCCTGGTCTGGTGCACACAGGTTAAGAGATAGAGCGTGGAGAGTTTGTTTTTCAAAAGGATAAAAAAAGGATGAAAAGAGACACTAAAATCCCCTCAAAACCTGACCTTTGTGAAAGCTGTAGGCCACATGTCAGCAGAGGACGAGCTGTTTTAGTTCACTTTGAGGTCTATGAGGAAAAGGTTCTTACATACAGCCTATGTGGATTTAAGCTGCACTGCCCCATGCACTGCAAAAGGTGATGAAAAATAACATAAAATTGCTCAAATTTGGCAAAATGTATCTTAATTTTGAGCATCAATTTGCAAATGGGACGAGCAGAATGATCGTTTTAAAAAGAAATATCTCGGAAAGCTATTTAGTCTTACTCAAGAACTATTGCTTTATTAAGAGAGTCAGAAAGTCTGATAAATGTTGAATGTTGTAACAAAAAGTGTATGCCCTGCACATTGTATGTCCCCTTTTCATTAGACTTTTTTATCTGTGATATTTCAGATTTTATTGAGCAAACACTTTGAGCTTGGATTGTGTTGACCACAGGTGCTGGAATTTCAACTATAGAGCAGAAAAGTCTTTCACACCTGGCAGTCTGCTCGGTGCAGGAGTCACATTTCCATTAAAATCCTCAAGGGAGTTTAAAAAAACCAAAAAACAAATCAATGACACTTTGCAGCTCCAAACGTATATACAATTATTTCACTTTTTGTTCTCTGTATGCTGCAATGTTTAGCTAGAACCACCCAATCATTTATATTTGTTTTGAAGAGGCCATGATTATACTACATTGCCCAAAGCATAGTCTACTCCGATAGTTTTAACCCAACATGCCAGCTGACCTGAGTCAAAACCTTTTTTAGTATAGTTTATAAAAATGGGCGGGAATAAGTGGAAGGAGGGCTTCCAAACACAGCTTCAAACACCATTAATCTGATCCATGTAAAATATATTGTCATTATTTTCATCATCAATCCTTAAAGACACAAACAGGAGCAGTAGTGTGTCAAAAATACTGTTAGAAAGTTTGGAGATTGTCAAAATTGTCAGTAAAATATTTAATGAGATTTTTTTGGCAGCTGGTTTGTCATTTTCTATCTACGACTTATCAACATAGCGCAGATACCGATGCCACGCTCCGTGCCTAGACTTCTTATTACCGTTGATGTGGCAATATTTGGATTCAGCTTCACACCGCAGTAAATGTAATTAAACTTTTTGGCACACTCTGATAGAAACGCAGCTTCTTTCCCCTGACCCCGAAAGAGCCACGACTGTCAGGGCCGACGGATTCTCCCACTCACAGCAGCTGTTTTCTTTATTTTTACATGGCCTCGTCTTCTGCAGCTAAACCACGCACACACCAACTCCACAAGGAAGACCCAGGACTAATATGCGGCACACAGTTATTTGGCAGCATCATACATACACTGCAAAAAATACTGAATCAAGTGTTTTTTTTCTTAATTTGAGTACATTCTGACTGTCTTAAAACAAGATTTGCCTCAATGGGACAAAGCCATTTCGTCTTATCACAAGAACTTTAAATGCTATGTTTTCTCATTTTAACTGAGACTTTTCTTGTATCTTTTAAAAAACAAGATAATTTTGCATGTCCCATTGGCAAATCTTGTTTTAAGACAGTCAAAATGAGTTCAATTAAAGATATTTTTTATATTTTTTGACTTATTTTTCATCACTTTTTGCAGTGTAGGCCTGTTCAATCTGCTGCTATGTTGTTGTGCTGGCATTCATGATGAAGTACGTTTATGAAAATCAGGTGTAAACAGTATTGAGCTTTACAATTTTCAAGTGCATGAGACTTTTTTTGGCTAAATACTTGCTCTATAAGTTGTGCAAGTTGTCTACTTGTTCCGAATAATTATGATCTTCAAGCTTACAAACGCACACCACAGTTCGGCTTCTACTTAATAATACTGAGGTTTAGATCCATCTCATTTTGTTTTTGAAGTTTTTCTATAGTAAACATAATTGCTGTGTTGGTGTGTGGGAAAAAATCAATGAAAAGACAAATGGTGTGCTTTGAGAATCAGGTCCCTGGTTAATGATTTTTAGTTAATGGGTTAAAATTACTCTGGTGCTGGATCTCTGGGGTCCGGGGGTCTCCGGATCGATGTGGCGGTTAATGTGTTCCTGGTTTGTGTGCAGGTCCAGTGATTATGGAAGCACCTACGTGAAGCTCAAGGTGGGCTCCAGGACGGTGCTGAGCTACCTCTACGTGTGTCCGACCAACAAGCAGAAGGTAAATGAAATACAGTATGTAACAAAAAAACTAAATACAAAACAAATCAATACACATTTCTCTGCAAGATTTGTAGTTTATTGTTACTTATTTCTCGGTACGGTGGGCAGCACAATCGCTGAGTGGTTAGCATTCTCACTTCTCAGCAAGAAGGTTCTGGATTTGATTCCACCTCTGGATAAGGCCTTTCTGAGCCAAGTTTGCATGTTTGCCCACTGTCTGTGAAGGTTTCCTCCAGGTGCTCCGGTTTCCCCTAGCACTAAAAACATGTCTCCTCATGTCTCCTAACCGTAACCCTAATCTCAGTGGAAAAGTCTATTCAAATGTAAAGACTGTAAACTCAAATTTGTATTTATTTTTTGGCTGTAAGTTTCAAACAAACCTATTGTGCTGCTTGAGGACATCACACAAGTACTTTTCATTTGTTTGTTGTATTCTTTTTCTTTTTTCTTAGTGTGAATTAATTTTTGTTTGACAGAGTCCGCAATCTTTACATTTCTCGGGGATACAGGGATGCATACTTAATTTTCCTTATTACAATTGTTATTATTCATTATTATCAAGGGTGATCAAAATGTTCGATGTGCAATGTGTAATTCCATAAACGAAAAATGGTAGATATATATTTAATGATGAGTGCCACGATGTGTGTATTTTAGTGCTTTCCCAGAATCCACGACACCTAATCCATATACGATTAAGTTTTAGCAGCAAGAACAGTAGGTTTTTTATGTAATTGCCTTAAAACAAGGTGCAATGGTCTATTCAGTGCACACAGTGTGATCCCAGCAAAGCAATGACATCTTTATGGACACCACCCAAGGCCAGACCCTCAAAACGATAACCCTGAAGAAATGCCCCACTTGCACACAATATACAGAGATGGTTCTACTGCATTTTAGTTTCTCCTTCTTCTTCTTTCAAAATATAACCATCTAACAAATGTGAGTGATCAACAGATGTTTTCCTATTTTGCCAGTCACATCAAATATACTGGGATGAATCAGGACCCCTTAATAATATAACTAATTTTCAGGTCAGTTTGCTCCAGCTCTTACAGGGAAGTGCCAAACCCAAAGTTGGTCATTCTACAGCAGGGGTCTCCAACCTTTTTTGACTGGAGAGCTACTTTTATTTAAAAAAAAAAAAAAAGAAATGGCAGAGAGCTACTCCTTTACAGTATCTCTGCATTCATCAAAAAATCTATAATCAATTAATATAATGACTCAAAAGTGACTTATTCAGCAGGATCATGTGTTAAATTCTTGAATCCTTTGGGAGCTACCTAGAAGGGGGTGGCGCGCTACTGGTAGCTCCCGAGGCACAGCTTGGAGACGCCCAGTTCTTCAGTCTACCCCTCAATACAGCTTTACCCTTTTTTAAATTTAGGCTGACTTTTGACTTTTCTTTTTTTTTTGGCTTCTGAGTCATCAGAAGCCAAAACAACAGAGCCCCAGCCTCACCACGACTCCACCCATTTGTTATACGCTCCAAAGACCCCTAAAACAGAATCTGTTTGAATTTTTAGTATTTTTTTCAGTCGTTTTAGAGAACGTTGCCAGGGCGGGTCCCATGTGATCTGTTCTGAACTCCGTGGCCCTCCTAGCTTCCCTCCACTTGTTCCAAACTCTCGAGTCTGCTGATGACTTTCCTCTGTGTCTGCGGTAGATCCTGATCCTGAGCGACCCGGAGGTGGAGAGCGCAGTTCTCATCAGCTCAGACGAAGGCGCCAGCTTCGAGAAATACACCATGAGCTTCAACATCGTCAGCCTGCTCTTCCACCCGGCACAAGAGAACTGGATCCTGGCCTACAGTCACGACAGCAAGGTACCAGCAGGACCATTGTATGGCTGTGTTTTTCAACCAGTGTGCCTTGGTATGTTTGTGTGCCGTGTGACTTTGCTTGGTGGGCCTTTGATCCATTATCATCTAATTGGTCCAAGTAATGTGAGATGATTAGAAGAAAATATTGTACTTGTTTGATTTTCTATATAATACTCTTCAAAGATAATTCCTTTGCTTTCTTTTTGAAGGTTGCAGAGTTTCATTTTTGCATCAGATTTAGCGGGTGGTGTGGCGTGAGATTTTTGTCACTGAATAAGGTGTGCCACGGCTCAAAAAGGTTGAGGGACACTGGGCTAGAAGGTCGACTGATGTGGTTTACCATTAATTACCACCAGGATTCGTAGAAATACTGGCACTCGGTCATTCTGACTGCTCCTATTCAAACCATTGGAAATCTGAAAAATTCCCCCCAAAGAATGTTTCGTTTTTTGCCATATTCATTGAAAGAAAGTCAAGATTTACTATTGCAAAGGAAACATAGCTAAAAATGCTACTGCTAACTTCTGACAGTAAACGGTGTGTTGCTATGGTAACTAGAACTTGATATTCTCTGGTGGAAAATGAGTTACAGGTAGAACCACTCACATTTGTTGTTATGAAGACCAAGAATGTACATGAGGTGAGTAATTACACTTCCAAAACTAAAAGCCGTCAAATTGACTGCTCTGGGAGTTCTAGTGTTAAAAATCAAGGAGGCTATTTTGTCGTAAAAGAATATTTTGTAGTAAAAGTGATTATTATCTTCAACACTTTTAACGTTTTAACCAAATTATTAAACAAAACAAAAAATAGCTCCTACCGTATAAACAAGACGTAATGGTAATGGAGATGTAGATGCTATTCAAAATTAAAATATTACATATGCTCAAAAGTGTGTGTGTGTGTGTGTGTGTTTTTTGTGTGTTTTGAGTTGTATGAGGCTGGACTAGACCAATCATTTGACAGGGAAAAAAACATTGTAAAATTTGCTGACATAAAAATGATTGTTTATTTATATTGGTCATTATCTTTGCCGATACTGCCCAGACCCTGTTAAAAAATGTGCTTTTGTGTTTGCAGCTCTACAGTTCAATGGATTTTGGGAAGAAGTGGCAGTTTGTTCATGAAAATGTCATGCCGGGACGATTCTATTGGTAAGTGTATTCTCTTTTTCATAACATTGTCATTAAAAATAAATCAAGTAAATACAGAGAATCAATCAATCTACAAATGATCTACTTCTGATGCACACTTGTTTCACTATGTAAACCAAAATAATTGGGTTCATTACTTATTCTTCTTTTGATAATGTATGATGCTTGTCCCAACAGAAAGTCCTACAAATTTGACCACAGCATGTTGTCTACATCTTAGATTTTGAGGCACTTGAGCTGAGAACTGACAAGCCGAGTGAGGGTTGTCCTCTCTTTTTATGTTTGTATTTGAAAAAACTGTTCTAAAGATGTGACAGGGGCCAAAAACGCCTCTGTCACAGATGGATTCAATCTGGAGAGACTTGAACAGACAAAAGATTAGATTATCTTTAATTAATCTTTAATATTAGATTTGTATATTGGTTGTAAAGTAATCTGTCACTACATGAATTACAAATATGACTCTGGGGACAATATATTCAAGATTACATTTATTGGGCTGTACAGTAATGCGGTTAGGATTTGAGAGATTATGAGGGCCCAGACCCTGGTGGTGGTAGGAGAAGGACGAAAGAGCCGACCCGGATCGAGGCAGAGATGGGGAGGAGGAGGGTTGCAGCATGAATGAAGCTGCTGCATGGACAGAGTTTCCTCAGGATATGAAGCTTGATACGGGGCAGTGCCTGTTTGCTGCAGGGGAGGATAGCGTGTGGCGCTGCAGCTGAGTGATTGACTGATTCTGTTGCCGTAAGCAACAGTGGGAGGACTTTGAACGCCGTGAGCTTAGTTCTTCCGTCTACCTTTGCTTTTGCTTCATTTCTATAAGAGAGTTTAATTTGTTGTGGCTTGAAAGTTGTGTATGCCAGCTTAAAAAACTATATAATACACTTTTTACATGGCTTATTCTATATGCCGCACAAATGATTATTTTACATTTTGTTCATTATATGCAGCAATATTGATCCTAAACTGCCCAATGATAGACACAGGTTTATTGACTGGCTGTAGAGAGTGTAGTCTGGCTCCATTTCATCATCCATGCCTCAAATGCAGAACAATACAAGGCTGAGAAAAGAACATTTGTGTTAAATATATTACACTCTGAGATTTAAGAGACAACAGTTATTTGTCCCACTGTGGGGGAAAGTCAGCGTTGCATCACCAGCAGTGGTGGGTGTAACGAGTTACTTACAAAACTACTTTTTCTGGGGAAAAGTAAAGTAACGCAGATAACTATTGACAATTTAGTAACGCAACATTAGTGTTTAGTGATGGGCAAACAACACTGAGGCTCCGGGGCAAACTGCTGTGAAACACTGTTGGAGAATGTATCAAAACAGCTGCTCATATGATAAACGTGTCAGTGTCCTGGACTCTGCAGTCACTGCTTCACTTTGTATCATCTGTCAGTGTGTCGAAGCGTTTCATTGGCTCAATGTGTTTCCCAGCTTCGCATTGGTTCAGAGCGTTAAGGGGCGTTCACACTGGACCATGGGTTGCGTCCAGTTTCATTACTGTCAAAGGACAGTCTATGGTTTCGACGCGTCTCCTTGGTTTGACAGCTTAGAGTGGATAGCATAGACTGTAGTGGATAATAACAGTAATACAAAAGTAACGTAAAAGTAACGAATAATGTTAAATTCTTTAGAGAGTGACTAAGTATAGTTACAGGTTACATTTTAAAAGAAGTAACGAGTAACAAGAAAAGTTACTTTTTAAAAGTAAATTAACACTGATCACCAGTTACAAAAGAGTAGGAATGAGGAGCGCACAACACAAAATGAACACAGCTCTATACTCTATACTAAACTCCATACTAAATATCTCTAAACTTCACTCTATACTAAGTAAAAATGAAAGGTAAAAAGTTTTCAAACTTCACAATTAGACACTTGTGGCCCAAGGACTCCCCTGATACGGAGAGCACTTTCTCTGGAAAAGTGCAAATCTCTAGCTTTAGCATAATGGGGAAGCAGTCTATAATCTACAACTTTAGCATAACAAAGAAGCTAGAATTATATGAAGCTAGTTTATGCATGTAAACATGTCGTTTCAACATCTTCTGCCCTACCTCCAGTCAAATCTATTCGGGACATACCCTATTTATTATCTCCCACCTTCCCTGATCGACACAGACATCTTTTCTCACCTACATTGTGCTTGTTTTCCTTTAGCTTGCTACTTTTCACACTATGAATTTGCAGGCCGTCCTTCGCTGAGCTTGCACTTTTTTTCCAGAGAAAGTGCTTTCCGTGTCAGGGGAGTCCTTGGACCGCGAGTGTCTAATAGTGATGTTTGAAAATAGAACTTTTTACCTTTCATTTTTGACACCCGTAAAACCTTTGAAAGTGTTCGTTTTGCCTCGAGGCAGGTCGCAGCGAGACGGGATATATGTAGTCAGTCAAAGGCAAAAAGTACTTTTATAGAATGGTACATTGGGCTTACAGAGTGCGTTCCAGTCTGGAGTGTTCTATTATCACACAGTCGATATAAAAATACAAGATTGTTATTGACCAGATGTTTGTGAGATTGATCTGACTTGGAGTGTGTCTGAAATCCCTAAATATCCTCATCATTGTTGGATTAATTTGCAGTCTGCCTTTCAAGAGTAAATTTGAAATACTATTATTATACTATTAGTATTATTGCATATTTATTGCATAAGTCGAGTTCACTTCGGAAAAGAGGATGTGAAAGGCCCAGGGGGTAAGTAAATAGTTAAAATGCTCACACAGTATTTATCATATGTATTCCCCTTTTTTCACAATTCAGGTTTTTTGACCTGAGTTGAAAGGTATTGATCCAGGACAACAGTGGGAAACCGTGGTGTGTTGTTTGGACCTGTGTCAGCTTTTCACAACAAGAAAGACGGAAAACATATTTCTGACTCTTAGGACCTTGGACCGCCAGGGAATTGCATTATTATGGACTCATGGTCGCGTTACATAAATACACATTTTAAAATATAAAATTTACAAGGATTTATTTATAAAGGAAAGATTGCTATACAGGTCGCAGGACTCAAATAACTGGAAAAGCTTTTAGTCTGGCTATTACAGATATATTCTTATCTTATCTAAGATAAGAATATATCTAATTCAACACAGTGACTTTTGTTCAAACCAATAAACTGCCCATCTAAGCTGGGCAAGGCTTGGTTAATACTGTGATGGGAGACCTTTTGGAACACCAGGTGCCACATTTAGGCGGCTGTAAAGTGTCAATCTGTCGTTGTCTCAAGACACTTCCCCACATTGCAGAGAAAGAGTCTGGTGTTTGAGCATGAATTGTTGGTGGTGTTTGGAGGGGCAGAGGGCACACTTCTGTCAGTGTGCCCCAGTGCAGTTGTGGCTACAATAGTAGTTTTTCACCATAGTGTCTGGAGGAAATGAATAATGGCGTGTGAAACGAATGCATTATTATTATTATTATCATTATTATTCTTATGAAATCAATTAATGCACAACAGATTTTATGTGATACAATTTCAGTGATATTTTTGCATCTGGTTTGATCTGCTCTAAAAAGCCAAGCCTCAGTCTATTGACACAAATAGGAGCTTTGTCACTCTTGTGCTAATGACTTAATTTTCCCTAAATAGACATTTCTCCTCTGCTTTTTGACCCACCCTTCAAACAATGAATGAGCACGAGCCAGAGCAATGCCACAGTGATGGACCGCACATTCTGATATGCCCTTGCAATAACAAAATGCATTTCATCTGTGAGTATTCCTATGATTTTATATTCGACAGTGATTGTAACCTTAAGGTGATGTTCCTGTAGCAAAAACACACACCATCTCCCTACAGCACATTGACTAAACATGTCCAGGCAGCTCTGAACAGTCTGATTGATGCTATTTGCATAATCACAGCCCTCCTGACCCCGAGCGGTCAAATGTATCCCGCGACCTTTCTGTCAAAAACAAAATGGCTTCTCCGCCGTGAACCGTAAAGCAATGTACAGCTTATTACAGCCCTGTCACGTATAGCATGGCAGCTTTGTACACTGTCCCCATGCCGACGCACAACACGACACGCTGTTATGTGTTCGCTGTCATTTAGCCATCTCCGCGGCCGGCCCGATATTGATGGAACACACTTTTTATCGTGTCCGTCGTAGCGCGTGTCAAAGCCGGGGAAATCGCAAATGCCATAAGGGAAGGACACAGGCACGGAGAGACAATGTACGGAAAATGTATGCATGAAATGGCTTCAGATGGTTGTAAATAAGAATAGAGCCGGAGCTGTGACAATGCATTATGTAAACACACACTCAAATGCGTGCTTCAGTTTGTACGAGGAAAGACGAGACGATGATTTTAGATTAAGAATAAGATATCTTTTTTTTTGTCTCACAGCAGGGACATTTCAGAGTTGCACCACCAGTTACAGAACAGTAGAACAGCAAAAACAGTCAGCTGCAGGCTGACTGTCACTTCAAAACTTTAAAATAGTTTTATTGTCCTTTTGATTTAATTTTATTTGTGCCCTGACCCTGTGTGTGTATGTAGATAATTAAATGATAAATCTCCCCACTGTGGAACAAATACATGTTAACCTTTATCTTACATTGTCTCATACAGTTCCAAATATGTAAAATCAGTGTACTGTAGTTTTTCTGAGACCTTGCGGAGGTAAACACACAGAAATAGTATTGTAAATAAGCTTGATACAAAATGCTGATGAATACATGCAACAATTGTTTTATATTGCACGTTTTTTGAGACATTTTTTCTTTGTTTTTTTAGAATTTATGAAAATATTCCCCGTCAGACAGCTCCACTAGCCCCTCAGATTGCGTTATCTTTATTGCAGCGGGCTCTTCTTTCATACTTCCTGAGCTGCATCCTTCTATATCTGCCACGAAGGATCATAGGCCTGTGTGTGATGTTTATGGCCTCTGTGATGTGTTCCGAGTCTTGCCTTTTTCTTCTCTCCGGATTGAGACTAATTGCCGCAGGTGGCGTTCCGCTCTCACATTGTTAGAGCTTGAGCTGAACAGAGCTGTCCGTTCTGTGCCTTTTCTCTACTTGCACCACTCACTCTTTTTGGATCCAGTGTAACCTGCACTTACTCTATGAAAGAAGATATTAAGAGAAATTCAGCACAAAGCAACATTTGTTGAACATTTTACTCCATAACTAAACTCTCTCATCAGCGCTTATTGAGTCAGTATGTATTCTATAGTTTTAGCTGGCAGATGGATTTTGGCCCATGGCGGTATAATGATATATTCACATAAGAAGCTAAATTCATGTACCTTTTCTAAACGCAAACTAAAGTAAAATATACATTTATAATACAGTGGGGATACTGTTTTCATAAAACGGTGTCTTTCTTGATTAATTTTATTAATTGCTTGGATATTATTGTTCATGTTGTCGACAGAGTTTAGGCCTGGGCAAAGTCGTTAACAGTCACGATCAGTTGGTGCAGGATAAAAAAGGCTGCGCTCCGGTACCTCCTTAACAGCATCACATGATGCACGCAGCTTGCTGACCTCTGGGTTGTGGACTCATGTCCGGGCACCGGGGATCTTTTGTGTAGTAAGCCTATATCGTTATTTTGAATAACTGCAAAATCTTCCCCTTGTCAGTGTAGTTGTATAGATGGACTCTGCTCGCAGTTTTGGGGGCCCAGGACCTTTAAGCTCTGTCTGTTATTAGCAGCAATTATCTGGTATATTTAAGGGCATTTATAAAAATGTATGGACATTGGTCATCCCGCCTCCTAGGAATCAATGGCTTCAATGTGTTTGTTATTATTCCCTTTCCTTTGTTTGAATTGATATGTATATTATGCAAATCTGAAACCAGAAGTGGTCAATGGTTTTTAAGCATGAATGAATACTGTGTGCAACTGTGTGGAAGTCTCATTGCTTTGAACTGGAATGCAATGCAATTTTCTATTATCAAGCCACTTTTTAAAATTACTAGTAGTATCCGAAATTTGCTTCTAGTTTAATACTAGACATGACAACAACATAGGTGTCCTTTAGACAATATATTTGTAACTGTGATTTCCAGTTTTGTGAAAGAATCAGACCACAACATGCCGTCTTTAACTCTTATAAGAGGCCTATAATTATAATATAAACAACAAACTCATAATTTTTGTTATTAGTTCACCTACACCTTAGAATGACATTGTTCACTTTCAAGGAGTGAACATTAAAGGGTTAAAAGACTTTCCCTCTTTTGTTGTTTTGCAGAACGAGATTGAAAGAACACAAGAAGCCTCCTCTCCGATCAAAACACTTGTCCTTCCATTGGCCCCTATAAACGCAACCTCTTTTTCTCATCTTCTTTTGTTTGCAGGGCTGTGATGGGCCTGGACAAAGAACCCGACGTGGTCCACCTCGAAACTCGCATCTCCCAAAACCGTAAGTCCAGAGCCTGTTTTGTTTTTCCCCGTCTTGCCGACCGGACACCCCCAGGACCCCTCTCCGGCCCCTCATTTACAGCGAGGTCAGCGGCAGAGATGAGACCTGCTCCGATTGCTCCCTGAAGTCTTGTAAAGCACAAAAGGCACCTCACGACAAAAGCGGAGAGTTTTAGCAGCGTGATGGATGTCGCCCCTTCTCTAATCTATCCCCAGTGTCTCGTAGACCCATCCTCGACTCCTACTTCTAAACAGCGCACATATTCCGTCAAAGCAATTACAAGGCTTCTCCGCTGCACCGGGAGAAAAAAAATAACTCATTTTGTTCAAGCAGGGAGAGGAACAGAGTTGGAATTAGCATACAATTTGGGTTTTGTCTCACGAATCTGAACTGGGTCTCAATTGAAAAGTTCCACTTCAAAAGAGCATGTATTATTGGGTTAAATCTCCCTTTTGTTATTAATCCATGCCAGCCAGCCCTCCATTTTGATTCTCTGGCTGAACTTTGGCTGTGCTGCGGTGCAAGCTCGCAACAGGAGGTGTCAGATTTTTTTAAATTATGTGATATGGGTGCTGTTTCATGTGTGTGGAGGTGCAGGGCTGTGAAGACCAGAGAGGAGCCGGATGCACATGCAATAGATGAAAGTACATTGCGAAGAAATATGAATGCCATTTTTTGAGTAGAATTTGTAATGCAAGACGTTTTATTTTGGCTTTTTCTTGAATGAGCTCAAGTCTGTGTTGGATCCAGCCTGGTCGCACCACACCATAGTACAAATTACATTTCGTACTAAGGTCTGGAGGTGCTCCATTGAGCTCCGTTTACAGGTGGGAGGGGCTAACACCTTTTACAGATTGAAACGATTGGATCTGAGTTTACCGTGACGTATGTAATGCGCCCGAGTGAGTTGTTAGCATTAGCATTTAGCCTAGCCATCTCCTTGGCAGCTAACGGAGCCCGTGGGGATCAGCGCCACAATCTTTGCCAGCAAATACATTTGCTAAACATTCCTCTTGCTCCTGCTTCCATTTCTTGATAGAACCAGACCGGATTACTTTACTAATGCATTTTTCGCCATTGCCAAACTACAACCGGCCTCTTCGGCGTAAACTATTGACGTCACCCACATCTAACTACAACACCCGCCTCCCGCGCTCGCTGATTGGTTGGATGGAATTCAACAGATTGAAATCGCAAAACACAGGAACCAGCCCCAGACGTTACATGCAGTGAAATGATGATTGAACGTTGGATCCTAGACATGCAGAGCTTTTATAAAACTTTATTTTGAGGTTTTAACTGACACACGCCCTGCATCACTTGATCGGCGTATTTGAATTGGCAGAAAGACATGACATTTTAAAATGCATTATTAGACAGTATAATTTAAAATAGTCACCTTTTTAAAACAATCTCCAATGTCATTTTTTTTCTAAAATGAACCATTTTTGCCTTAACCATGATGCTGACCATCAACGCTAGAAAGACCTCTTCACAATAATGGCATATGTCAAGAATATGTATTATTTGAAACAATTTTTAGTTTCTTGAAAAACTGGGACACATTCCTAAAGTGGTGATTTTAAGATGGCTTTGAAATGTTACATGGATAATTAATACAAAAAACAAATACAAATATGTCTTTGCAAAATGAATACAGTTTTTTTCCAGAGTTTTAGCATCGTACATATATTATTACTGTTACCATCTGCACCAGACCACACTCAGACCAAGATCTACTTTTTCACCAACCATTGAATCGTGATCTACCTCGCACTTATGTGGCTGTTACGATTCATCAGTATCACATTTGGTTTTATTCTTGATGTATTTGTGATTCATGATCAACTGGTGACCATGTTGTCTATACACAGTTTGTTGGAAGGAAATAAATAAATGCTTAAAAGTTATTAGTATCATTATTGTAGATGGTACAAAGCACACATCCATCTGCCACAAAATGTACAGTATATTCTTGTGCAATGTTTTTCATATTGTGAATGCCACTTATAATTGCTCAGTGCACCTACTGTATTTGTCAGAACCATGTTTACTTTGACGTGTACACGCTCGTGTACACGCGTACATGACACATATGAACTCTGATACGTCATACAAGCTACCCACACTACCTTAGCGATCGGCTGGTAGATTGCGATCAACGCATAGAGCACCCCTGATCTGCACCATTGATCCACAAACTACACCTTCTCCATATCTGTAACATTTCAGTGACGACTATCTATATTTATCCCCCGCTCCCGGTCTGTGCCCGTGTGTGCAGGAGCCCGGTATGTGAAGTGCCGAGCCCAGCGCTGCAGCGAGCCCCAGCGTCAGTATCTGTTTCCTGGACACATGGACATCAACTCCATGGTGGTGCAGGATGAATACGTCTTCACCCAGGTTTGAGTACACCTACATATTTGTCCAGTTTTAATCATTGTAAAACACATAACTTTTTGGGGACAGTACAAATATACATATATTTTTTTCCCTGTTACTCAAAGTTCACTCCTCAACTTTTCCCATGACGTCCCCAAAACATCCTCATGTAAACATATAAACATTTCATTTTCATTTCAATTTGGAGAGACGAGAAAACAAGAAGCTTTTGAGTATTTTATTGGGAGGAGGTTTGGCGCCCTAGGCCCCGGTGCGGCCTTCAGATCGGAGAGGCTCCTGCGATGGAGCGCGCCAATCCCCAAAAGGCTGTGTGTTGATGGAGTTTTGCAGCCTGGTTTGGAGGGGACAGAACGTCGAGACTGCTCTATGCTGTGACCGCTATCGCTATATACTGTGACCGCTATCGCTATATACTGTGACCGCTATCGCTATATACTGTGACCGCTATCGCTATATACTGTGACCGCTATCGCTATATACTGTGACCGCTATCGCTATATACTGTGACCGCTATCGCTATATACTGTGACCGCTATCGCTATATGCTGACGACCGTTATGCGCTAACCATTTTTTGCTATATACTGTGACCGCTATCGCTATATACTGTGACCGCTATCGCTATATACTGTGACCGCTATCTACTGTGACCATTACTTGCGGATACTCAGCTGCTGCCGCCACCAGGAAGTTTAGCGAGTGTTTTATGGAGATGCCAAAAGGCGCTGGGCTGCCAGAATGGTCGAAGTGTCAGGCCTGATGTATGAGGAGAGGGCCGATGATGACCAGCGGCCCAGCTGCTGGAGGGCGGAATAGGGGAGCCCAAGGGACGCGGCGCGCGTGGCGGCGCCTATCCGAAAGGAATGGGCTGTGTAGAGATGGGGAGACAGATTACAAAGCAGCAGTACGGACCTGAGTTGGGCTCTGAACCAGTTGGATGACATCGGGAGGTTATCGGGAGTAAGCAATAACGGTCCGTTGAGATCTCCTTTCCGAGAGCGGAGGCGAGTGTAATGCATCATGGATCTGTAGGGACAGGGAGAAGTGTCAGACCGAGCTATGACTATATTGCAAGCGCCTTTGCGTTTGGAATGCTTGAGGTGGAGGTTGAAGTAGTCGGGATAATATGACGGGTCAGAGAAGGCAATGTCTCGGGATGCATTAAAGGTGGCGTGAGAGTTTGTGAATTCGCTTATGCGTAAGAAGCCCATTTTCATGTAGGATGCAGCGGAGGAGAGAAGGTGAAGAGACGGAGGGACTAGGCCGGGGCGAGGGATTCCGTGCAGGGGATCTGGCATGGCGATGGATTGGCAGAAGGGCAAAGGCGTCAGAACTCCTGGAATTTAAAGCGAGAGAGAGAGTCAGCAAGACAGTTAGGTGACGAGGAACGTGACGAGCAGTGATGATAAATTGTTCAGGACTGAGAGCCATGTGATGCGTCTAAGGAGGATGTGATTTGGGGAGAGGATGAACGACCTCTGTTAATTATTTCAATGACGTCGAGGTTGTCGCACGTCACGGAAATCCTTTTCCTATGCCACGTATGGTTCCGCAGCACGCAGGCTACGGTCACGGGATATATCTCGTGGAGCGCGGAGGAGATGCTTCGAGGGAAAGGACCACTGGTCCTGGAAAAACCCCCAAAACCCACGGACGGGCCTGCGTCCGTGAAGAACCGCGGGTCATCTGAGACAGGATGACGTCACTGTAAAAAAAGAGATACACCATCCCAGCGGCTCTGCAGACGGGACCGGAACGCCAGGTCGGAGCGGCGCCCCGCGTCCTGGCAGACAGCGTCATTGAGGGAGGAGACGGAGCCGGCGAGGGAGAGGAGTCTGGAATTAAAAGAACGACCTTGGGGAATGATACGGACGGCATAATTAAGATGCCCGAGGAGGGAGAGCAAGGACGCCTCGAAGTGACGGGAAGGCCAAGGCAGACCGGGAGAAAGCGCGGATGCGTTCGAGCTTGTCCAGCGGGAGGGAGGCCTCCATGGCGCGTGTGTCGAGGCGGATGCCGGGAAACTCCAGAGCGTTGGCAGGGCCTGTGGGCTTTCCGGAGTGGAGGAATCCGAGGGCAGAGAAGGCGGGCCTGAGCTTGCGGAGAGAGCCCCCGGAGCAGTCTGAGGGTGGGTCGACTATGAGGGAATCATCGGGGAGATGCAGACAGAGGGGAGCCGCGCGTAATTAAGCAGAATCCGACACGGCGCCTCCGAGAGATTGTTGATCGAGAGGGACTACTCCGGCAGTCAAAGGTGAGGCGCACTGCGAAGAAGAACTCCGACGCCACTTGACCCCTGAACAGCGCCAGTGGTCGGGGTGGATGGCAGCAGCTTGAACGCGTCCGGGATGACGGCCTTGGAGAGCCAGGAGCCGGGGCCGAAAGTCTTTATCAGCCCGATCGCGTGGTCCACGGTAGCGGACTGCAGGGAGAAGGGCGCTGGAGGGAAGGGGCTGTTGATGCTCGGGCGGGCCCGGAGCGGGGACAGGAGAGGACGAGTATGAGACGCTTCTTCCTGGAGTGCTTGCGGGTGGCGATGCCCATCGGGTTAGAGCGAGACGGAGAGAAGGGAAGGGAGAAGAGAGAGGGCCGCGACGAGACGAGCAGCGGCGAACCCGCAGAAGGAGCCCGCAAAGGAGGAGAGCGGCAAAGACCCACGGACCACAGCACGAGACCCGCAGCAGGTGCAGCGACGCGGAGGAGGAGCAGACCACACGCAGCAAGACAGAGGACAGCAGGGACCGCAGGAGTAAGCGTGAGTAGACAAAAGCGATTCCTCCAGAACGATTCTTTGCAAGGCTTTGGGAGGCCGTGAAGTGGGAGTTTCTCCGCTTTTAAGCGGCTGCCTGGCCGGTACGGGTGATTGGAAGGGGGCGTTTGCTGTGCGATAGGCTGGGGATGTGAACCGGCCTGGAGGGGGTAACTTTGGCTGACGTCTACCAAATTGAATTTCCGCGGGCTGCATTTCAGTGTTTATAAAGGCAGACACTGTGGCACAGTGGTTTGCACTTGTAATTCACAGCAAGAAGGTTTCTAGGTTCGATTTAACCTTCAGGCCTTTTCTTTTAGAGTTTGCATGATCTCCCTGTGTTTGCACAGGATTCCTCCGGGTGCTCCGGTTTCCTCTACCACTGAAAAAATTTACACAATAGGAATGAATGTAATGAGAGAGTGAATGGGTTGTGAGGTTCAAGGGCTCTGATGTGCCATTGTGTCCAGCGTCTCGCTTCTGTCATCACTTGGGAGAGAGAATGGAAAAAATATATTATACTCCAAATTGTACAGAGCTTTGTGTAATCTTAGAATAATTTGCTGCAATAAGAATGTGACGCTTTGCAAATGTAGTGTAAATCTAACAACTAGCATGCTACAAGTGCACTTCCTCACCCAGAAATACCTAGTAATCTAGTTCTAACCATATCAGCTAGGGATGTAAAAAACTATGAATTTTCATGACCGACCACCGAGCCTCATTAACCGGTTAAAACCGGTTAACCGCGTAGTTTAAAATAGTCCACGTTCTTTGAAATAACAGCCATTTCGAGCCGCGTACTTTTCATAAGTGCAGCTGAGCGTTCTACGGGATCAGAGCCGAGACAGCGGCACCAAAACCCGCAACAGCTTCGGCACCTTTGCGCACAGAGAACAGCTGTTTTAATCTTCCCATTCTTCTGTGCTGCGGCTTAAAGCATTTTTAAGCAAAAGCCAGCTCGTCCACATGGTCAGGGCAGCAAGTGACGAGCCGCGTCTCGCAGGTCTCCGCTAAAGTTTAAAAGTGATCAGTGTGGAGCTGATGCCAAGGACCAGCAGCACAAACATGGTCCATGTGGTTTGACTGGAGCCGTGTATTTGCAAGAATGCTTTGGGCTCCGTGACACAGAGGAGCGCGACAGACCGGTATGTGTGTGTGTACAATACATGTATGTATGTGTGTGTATATGTCTGTGTGTGTGTGTATATGTATGTGTGTGTGTGCAATACATGTATGTATGTGTGTGTAAATAAAAGCTCCAATGTAGTTCTGACCCGCACCAGTGTGCAACTAGCAGGCGGTAACAGAGGGGAGAGATGATGCGTGTGGATGTTACGTGTCAATGGAGGGGGGGGGGATGTGTGTGTGTGTGTGTGTGTGTGTGTATACATGTGTGCGTGCATATGTGGCGCGTACGGCGTGAGAGTCGGCCCAGAGTTTACTGTTACATTGGCGCACACAGCTAGATAGGGACCCGCTCGTCACATCGTGCAAATAGGGATAAAAATAGCGTTATGAAGAGACCTCCCCTCTCCCCCTTTTCTCTTTTTTAACCGACAGCTTTGACCGGTTAACCCTGTGACGGTCAACCACCGGTTAAACGGTCACCGATTTACATCCCTAATATCAGCCACTATTATTATACATCTACAACATTGGTATTACTGCTTTAGTCGTATGTGCCGAATCGTAGCCTTACTGTGATAAAACTCATACTTTTGTTGATCGGATAGAGAAAGATTTAGTGATAAAGACTTGATGTGTGTCCCCTTAAGGTAGAAAAGTCTCCAGAAATGATGTGTACGTGTGTGTGTGTGTGTGTGTGTGTGTGTGTGTACAGATGTAAGTCCCCAAAGCGTGGTAAATACATGTCCGCACACATCTCCAGCATCTCTGAGAACTTTTATTCCTCCTTTTTTTTCCTTCCATCCAATCCCATCAAAAGCCATGTAATGATTTTTGCCAACACACCTGTTCCCCACGGGCCTAATGTGCTTTTTGATTATGTGGTGGAAGGCGGCGCAGACAGTTACGGTCCGCACACGAGAGAAAAGTGCCGATAGACGAGAGCCTCAGCGTCCTTATACCTGGCGCTCTGACTTTGACTCCCATTAGACCGGGTCATTATTAGAAATTTAATTTTACGTCGCCCTCCGCTGTCATTGATTCTCAGCTCACGGTTCAGTCATTCTCACATTCCTGGTCAACCTTGGTGCGCTCAGGCCGGTCTTTTAATGCAATAATAGCACTTTTGGTAAATAAGATTGTGAACTTTGAATGTCTTTGTGAAGGAGGTTATGTTTTGTCAATGCTGTTTTTTTAACGTGCCAGTTTTGCCAATAAAAACACTAATGATTGAATTTGATGGCTGCGTTGTGAGTTCAGGGTGAAGGCGAGTCTAATTTTGTTATTTGGATGAAGGTTTTGTTCTCTTTTTCTAAATTTATCGAAGAAGAAAACACGTTTTCCATCTTCAGGTTGTTAATTGCGCTGGAACTACAGCATTATCATCACAGACATATAATTTTGCTGCACAAAAGCTTTTGCAAAATGGCTTGACTATATTCTTTCATAACTTGGTGACGGTAGAGGCTGGGTTTAGGAACGATTCTAATATATGTAATTCTGTTGTAGAGTTGTGTAATGACAAATAAAAAAAACTTATAGCTGGGGTACCTAACTTTAAAACCACAAACAAGAAATTTAACTATTTCACAAAATCCATCTTGTGCCTTGTTTCCAAAACAGTTATACGACAGTTTGGTTAACACATGCATGTTTCTATTTGGCTTTTTGGCAGACATTTAGATTTTTATGAAAGAGAACCACCCTCACTCTCAGCTCTCAGCCCAAAGAGTCAAACTGTGACTCATAGGGATCTTTCAAGTAAACAATGTATATCCTGTTTTCTGATAAGATAAAGACAGCGTATTGTCGTTTGATTTGTTGATGATGTTTGACTTTGAGTCGTTTTCAGTCAAAATCAAATAATTTCTTCTATATAGAAAAAATCCTCAGCTTAAACTAACTTATCTCCATCTCTATTCATTTGCAATAAGTACAGCCATTGATAAACATGTATTACTGATTACAATGAGTTATTAACACAACATTTTACATGCAAACAAAAGGCTTTATAGGGCTAAAAGGACTTTACATGGGGAGACTGCATTTCAGATTTATGCAGCTAAGATCTGGCACAGTCTTCCTGAAAACTGCAATGTTCAAATCCAGATTAACAACAGTTCTGTTTAGCTGTGCATACAACTAGAAGGATTGTATATTTACTCTTTAATGTACTGTGATTATTTATGATTTGAATGCCTTGTCTGATTTCTATATTGTTTAGCCTTGTGTATGAACTGTGCTATACCAATAAACTTTCCATGCCTTTACTTTACATGTATGAATATTATTTTTCTTATGCGTACAGGGGCAATGCCTTGATGGTGGTCTGCTCATTCTGCAGTCTAGTTTGGGGAAATGGTCCTCAAATGTTTATCTATTTTCACATTACCGCGTCGAAGCTTTAGCCCTGACCCACTTTTCAAATGAATCCAGCGACTTGATTGGAACAAGAGTATGAAAAATCACATCGCAGCAGGCGTCGAAAAGAGCGATTGGATTTTTTAGAAAACGAGAATAAAAAGTCCTGTGAAGTTATTGACCAGATATGGAGCAGAGACAGTGGCTGAAAATAACTGGACACTGGTTGCCTGGTGCCACCGATGACTTTCTTGTGACTTTCATTGCTGAGGGCAGTTGGATTTAACTTGACAAAGAGTAATGAGGTTATCGATCGCGGGACAACGAAATAAGCAGTCTTCAACACCTCCCCAAAGTCTCTGGGGACCCCGAGAACAGCCAAGTGCAACATCCTCAAAAATGCAGCCTGGGAAAATGGGCCGTATTGATTTTCGATAGATTATTCCATTAGGGCCCTAATGTAGTGTGTTGGGGGACAAACACCATCCTTCTAGTTGATTAGAAAATAAGCAATCAAGTAGCGTTGGCTTTGGACGACAGAGTGCTACTGCATTAAGATCTCGCAGAGTAGCGGGAGATAAAGTCAGCGTGATTTTGACTGCTTCTACTAACACTACATGTAATTAAATAATGCCATGTGTGAATCGATATATGGGGTATGATTTATGTTTTTTGTGCGAAACAAAATGAAATATTTCAGAATAATGTCAGGCTGTAATGGTTTCTGTTGCTACACCTTTAATTGGAGGCTGTGTTTTGTTAGTTATGAATGGTATTTTCTAGGGGTTGTATGAATGGGAGGAAATGGTGGATCTCAGTCTATGAAGATTTAAAAGAAAATTGCCTGTGATTATGCTGTGTACGTCATTTAAGTTAACCCTTTAGACGTATCGGAAAGATGACATGAACTCCTGAAGGGAGGACTATTTTCTTCCATATTTTTCTTGTATTTATTTCTGTTATGGATTTTATTAGTCTTCTATCTCTTTTTTGGTTAGTACTGTGATGGGAGACCTCTGGGAACGCGTTTATTTTATAGGGACAGAACAAGAAGCATTGTTACAAATAACCAATGCCATATAGCTAACAGCTAATAACCAATGCCATATAGCTAACAGCTAATAACCAATGCCATATAGCTAACATAAAGATACATCACATTTACAGAACAGTATAAACTATCATCAATTATTAGTTGTATTAGTATTATTATTATCGTACATGTTATTATAACCTTTCTGTGCTCGACCATTTCTGAAAGAACTCTGGCATTTAAAGGATTAATAATAAAACTTATAGTAATTTCAGATAGGACAGTTGTATAGTCTATTTGAAGGCAAGGCAAGTTTAATTGTATAGCACAATTCATACACAAGGCAACTCAAAGTGCTGAACAAAATAAGAAAGCATTAAAATCATAAATAATCAAGGTACATTAAAATTAAAGATGAAAATATAAAATCCCTCAGTTGTATGCACAGCTAAACAGGACTGTTTTTAACCTGGTTTTAAACATTGTCAGAGAGGAGGCCTGTCTCACATCTTCAGGAAGACTGTTCCAGATTTTAGCAGCATGAATCTGAAAAGCAGCCTCCCCATGTTTAGTTCTGACTCTGGGCACTAACAGGAGTCCAGTCCCTGTGCTCCTCAGAGTCCGGGCTGGTTCATATGGGACTAACATGTCACTAATATATTTTGGTGCGAGGCCATGGAGAGACTTGTACACAAGCAGAGCTGTTTTAAAGTCTATTCTCTGAGCCACAGGAAGCCAGTGCAGAGACCTGAGGGCTGGACTAATGTGGTCGTACTTCCTGGTTCTAGTCAGGACTCGAGCTGCTGCATTTTGAATGTACTGCAGCTGTTTTACAGCCTGTTTGGACAGACCTGTGAGCAGGCCATTGCAGTAGTCTAACCTACTGGAGACAAATGCATGGATAAGAATCTCCAGGTCTGCTTTAGACACTATGTTTTTGATCCTGGCAATGTTTTTTAGATGGTAAAAAGCTGCTGATATGATGTATATATGTTGAGATTAATTAAATAAATAAAAGACAACAAATGGTCCACTTATGATTTGGAAACAAAATACTCTGACAGGATTGGATCTTGAGCACTTTCTATTCCTTTGTTATGTTGTAAACTCGTAGTATACATCCTTGACCTATTTTAGATAATACTGGCTTGAGTTCAGCTCTCAAAACACACATTTTGATCCAACCTTTTTTTTTTGTACACCAATTCTTTGTTGACGGCAAACATCCTTCATTTCCTCAAACAAAGTGCATTTCAGGTAATTGTTCTTACATTTCCTCTCACTCAAACAATGTTTTTTATGCTTTCACAAGGTAACCAAGTCTGGCCGCACAAGCTACTTTGTGTCCTACATGAGAGATTCCTTCAAGCAAATGAAATTACCCAAATACTGCCTCCCGAAGGTACGCATCAAAGCAAATAAATAACTATGATGACCCAGGCATTATCATAAAGCCACATACCCCTATTTCAACATAAGTGGATTTCCTCAACAATGTCTCTATGCTCTGAAATACCCTCTTATATTCAAAAGGCTTCCTGTTATAAGTGACTATGCTATTTTTGTCTGTCTGTCTGTCTGCTCCGAGACACTTGGAGCTTCTCTCAGTTTTTCGCTCTCGTGCAGGACATACACATCATCAGCACGGACGAGAAGCAGGTCTTTGCCGCGGTGCAGGAGTGGAATCAGAATAACACTTACAGTCTGTACATATCCGACTCTCCGGGCGTCTACTTCACCCTGTCCCTGGAGAACCTGAGGACCAGCAGAGGACTGGCCGGGAATCTGCTTGTGGATTTCTATAAGGTGAAGTTTGGGCGGGCTGTTTTGGTGTTGGTAAAAGAGAAATAAAAAGGTCAAGGTTCTACTGGTCGGAGAAAAAATAACATGGGGTAAATGGTAGTTATAGTTGTTTTATGGTTTTTTGCATTGTTAGGTTCTGGGGTAGCGCTGTAGGAAGTTAGTTACTCACCAGGCTTGTCACAAAAATCACAATATAAACGAAAAAAATATAAAGGCCTCAATTGACTTTAATTACCAAATTTACCTAGTCTGTTGGATCAAAGAATCAAAGCGACATTTCAGTTCAGTTTAGTTCAAATGTAAAACTGTTCTAACTTTTCTTAAATAGTCCATATAATTTTACCTTATTTTGGAAAATTATAAAACATGGTGACATTTCCAAGATTTCCATTAGATCAGCTGTCTCAGTATAAAACATGGGCACAGTTCACAACTTATATATTTTTATCAACTCTAACATTTCACTCAAGTAAATAACCATGTATTTTTTTTATAATTGACTTGGTCAAATAGTAATTTTTGGGGAGTTTTGACCGAGTTTATTACTCCGGCCAGGGGTGTCACAAAAGGCAATCACAAAAAGGAGATACTATTAACAAACACATAGGCCATCGGTTCATAGGGAGTTAAATAACCAACACAACATACATACAAAAACAAACACACCAACTAATCAATGTCTAGGGAATAGTTTGTGTGGATTATTTGGCTAAACTGTGAAATCAGAACATATATGTTTTATAAGAATATTGGTGTATATTATTATGGACCAATGGCTCTATGTGGTTTTTATCAATGCATTTCTCGTGTTTAAACGGTTTGATTCTCTGATATGTGTTGGTGAGTTCAACAATTTTGTTAAGTCGTCCGAGTTAGCTACTGTTGTGATTTAGGTAACCAAGTCTAGCCGCACAAGCTACTTATTTATTCAAGAATAAATTGAATTGAATTGAACAAGTTTCACCTGACATTCTCAAGTAGGATATATGCACGCATCACGCTTGATGATGGTGGTTATGATGATGATGATGATGATGATGATGCTTATTTCATGGTTATTCCATTTCCAAAAACAGATAAATTGCATTAGAGCAATATTGGAAAAGGCTTACAATTTTCTTTTCATAAAGTCCCAGAAGTAAAATACATCCATCCATCCACCCATTTTCTGGGTCGGGGGTGGCAGTCAGGAGCCGAGATCTTTCATTGGGGATGTGAAAAATATACGTGAAGTTTTAATATTGTAGTCACATTATTGGCAAATGAACTCTTCAAATATTGTTTGAGTGCACATGCTTAGTCTTTATGTGCAAGAACCGGAGTCTTTGTCAACATACATACGTCAAAATTCATATCTAGTTTAGTTTTCACATGTTACTAAATACTTACAAAACTTGACCATTATACAGAAGAATGTGATGGATGGTTGTACTAAAAAGGGATTAACAAGCAGAAACCTCCCCCAGATACCAGTTTTTACATGTTCAGTTGAATTCATATTAAATACCAGGCTTTCAGAGTAAATGAAATCCAGGTCCTGCATAAGCACTGACATATAAACGTACATATAAGATGCTAATGGAGTAATAACTGCGATTGACTAGCTACAACACCGTGTCCTTCAAGACTAATCAAATATTGAACGCACTGTTAACAATAACCATCTCTGGAGTACAAACACAGATTAATCATTCATTTCTGATTCATTAGCGTCTCCGTTACGACTTTGCAGACACAATAATGAATGCATTGACGACGTGATGTAAGCGTTATCCGTGTGCGAGCGTTATAGCGAACCCGCCATGAAGCAGTCACTTCTGATTAGCTGGCGCCGCAGCCACAGGCCACGCGGTACACTCCCATTTATCTGCAATTATGAACAAATTAGTCACAAATTATTATTGTGGCTTCCGAGTTCAAATGGGGGGTACAACAAAGCGGCATGCGTGATTACATATTATTACAGCCATTAGCTCGAGGACTGTAAAGTGAGTGGTGTGTTATGGTCTAATAGCATGTACAAACTCAACTAATGCTTCTAGAGTGTTCTGTGTGATGGAGAATGATCTGCTCCTGGAAACACACCTGTCAAAGACCAGGCCCACGAGCTGCTTTTGGCCCGCGACTGTTTTTCATGGCCCCTGAAAGGATATGAATCTTTTGCAGCATTGAGGTTAATCGGGATACTATGGCATGTTATACCTCATTGTATAGGCAATTCTCAGGAAAAAAACACATAATTTACTTGATTATATTGATTAATTTGAAAAGAATAAAATAATAATTGGCCTATCTGAAAAAGAATATTCAAAGAAAAGATGAGAACCCTAAAACATGACTTCTATCTATGTTTTTATTTTTTATTTTTTTTGGTTACATTTCTCATTGACCTAGTGAAAAACATACATATTTCAGAAAGTGGAAACAATTACAAGAAATACAAGTGTTACAGCCCTAAACTTGGCTCTGAGAAGGGGAAAGGAAATGCAACATACACAACCAGATGTAATTGGCGAAAGTAAATGGCCTTTTATTTCTAGGCAGAAAAGGTAACGTCCTGGACAAAACTTAGAGTCAGTAAACTAAACAAAAGGGGTTCCTTCGACAGGTAACAAGTCACAATTCTAATAAGGTCTCGTAAGGTCTCGTAAGGTTTCTCAAAGGTGTCAGCTCTCCTCCACACGTCTGTCTCTCAAGGCTGGTGCACTTGTATTGGAAACAAGCCGCCCCGTCTGGACGTCACACCGCTGTTTTATTGGCCGCGGGCAGGTCAGCTGGTGGCGCAGATTGGTTCGGGCGGAGCTCCTATTGGCCATACAGGAGGACTCCGGGCGAATGGCAGCATCCGGGAGGCGGGCCCTAGACTTCGCGGGAACGAGCCGGACACACAGACAGAGAGAGACGCACCGGGAGAGGGAGGGGGTGCTTGCGCAAAACGGCCCAGACCTGGAGCCGTAACAACAAGCTTGAATTAATTTAATTAATTAATAATGTGTAATAAATGTGTATAATTTCACATTTTGAAATATCTGACATTGCTCTTTTTACTTTGAATTTACAAAAGGAATTTTGTATAAATTAGCTTGCAAGCGTTGTACACTTGAAGTGAAGTGAAAGCATAATGACACATGATTTGGTAATGAAAACAAAAGAGAAACTGAAAAGATAGTTATTTATTTAAAAGGACAACGGACAGGTACATTAAAAAGATGGCTGCCCCAGATTTAGCACAATGCTAATTTCCATCTGTAGTCCTTATACAGTACAATCAAAAATACAATTAAAATACATAATACATAAGAGTTAATTAAAATACAAAACATAGACAAACATTTGTGCAATATATAGTAAAAGTGCAGATGAAAAGTGCCAGTTGCATTCATAAAGTGCAGAATGACAAAGTGCAACAGTTTTCACAACTATTTTGTAGCTATACATAATTAGCACATAGATACAATAGTTTTTAACACTAATAGTGTGGTGGCCATCAGACGATACCCGCGAGGGTAACACCTGATGGCCAAGTACCCATCTGGTACTTTTAGTACCAGATGGGTACCAGACTGTTGATCTAAAAGCCAGTCTTTAACTGCCCGTGAAAAACTGTGGAAATCTGCATTGTTCTTTAGATTGTCTGGGAGCCCATTCCATTCTTTCCAAGTCTGTGAGATTCTTTCACTTCCATTCCAAGTCTGTGAGATTAGCAGCTGTGGTTGAGTTATTGGAATCTGACCAGTGGTTGGGGACCGTGACGCTTGCTCCTAATGACCTTGTTACTTGCACGTGTCTGCAGTGTTGTGTCCTCACAGAACACTGAGGATAATGGGGGTAATGACGACTCGGCAGGGGGCGAAAGACATGCACCCTTGATTTTCTGTAGACGTGTGATAAGGCAAAAAAAAACATTGATTGCCCTTTGGAATCATTTGTCTCAAGGTTGTCAGAAATGTCAAAGAGTTTAAATGTATTCCAGATAGTGTTTGATTCATTCGCTTTTCCATGTGGTGATTTTAGCGTGTCTTATTTCAGGTTGAAGGCATAAACGGCATGTACTTGGCCAACAAACTGGTGGATAATCAAGTTAAGACGTTTATTACCTACAACAAGGGTCAGACGTGGGCTCTTCTGCCTGCTCCCACCGCGGACATGGCAGGGAACAACTTGCACTGCATCCTGGTGAGTGCACGAGACAGTGGACACACATGGACCTGGTTAAAATGTGCAAAATGTGGATATAAAACCGTATCATTCTGTGAGTTTTAAAGACTGTAAAAGATCCCAGATACAGTGATAGTTTTGGGCTTTCAATATTTTGGGCAGTACCATGGTTGTGTTACAAACGTTTTCAATTTTAATTTACCAGATAATTTCCTGTTCTGTGTGTGTTTGTCTCTCTGTGGGCCTTCCTGTCTGTTAGCGACAAAATTAGGAGCAGATTGGTATGATTAACCTCGCAAATGGGACAAGGAACCAATTGTTATTTATTTATTTTTATTTTTTTAAAAGATCTCTCCTGTTTGTGTGGTCAATAATGTGTATAAGTGGTCTATTTATGGATCTCTCAATTAAATGTTTAAATATTTGCTGCTATATCGCTCTATCCTATTTAGGCGCCAGATTGTTTTTTTTTCTAGATAGAGACTCAATATATATTTGATAATTAATAAAACAAGAAAAGTGTAAGAACATTTTAGGGAAATGTCCATAGGGCACCAGGTCGCTTTTAGAAAGTGCCCTGGATTTCTTACTTACTCACTACTTTGTAAGTATTGTCAATACATTTGTGTTATTTATATGGATTAAGATTAAAAGATCCATTATTCGTCTCACAGTGGTGAAATATCAGCGTTGCATCGAAAGTTACAGACGGTAGGAATAAGGAGCACACAACACAAGATTAATGAACAAAAAAAATCACTATCTTTATTAACTTTAACTTAAGAAGCAGTATATAATCTCTAGCTTTAGCATAATAAGCAGCATTCACAGAGCAGGGTCACAAAGTGCATTCCATACATACAATAAAAACAGTATAAATGCAATACACTTTGGCAGCTAAAGGCATAATATTGTCTAATATTTTGATATCAGAGCTTACTTCTGGAGTGTATCCTTGAAATGAGGATGATTTGCATCTGTGGTAAATGGAAAGAAATGGATAAAACAATTCCATGGCAGTTTGAGTCCAGATTACTGCAGTTAATTCTACAGTGCAACACATGAGAACATATAAGTGTTATAACTAGATTTGAAGATGCAGTCGCAATTTTTCCTCATTCCAAGGGAGAATTATCTTGCACTTTCACACGTTTTGAAAGAAGACATTTTTTCCTGTCTCTTTGGCACATCTTGTTTTCAGATTTTTCACTGCGTAGAGGTGAATATTGTTGTAAAAACGAACAGCCTTGGCCTCGGTAAATCCGTAAAGCTCCATTCCACGTCACGTCATGTCTTTCTTCTTGGCTTCACATGAGCAGCCCGTTTGAACTCTTTCTTTCTGAGGAGACGCTTTGGACGGCCTCTCTTTCTCATCGATGACCCCCCTCCTCCCCCCATCTCCACAGACTCTCGAGTTTCTGGGGTCCGTCTTCCCATTAACCTCCGAGATTTCAATTTACTGCCTTTGGTCGCGCCGCTTTAATCAACATACGATTATATTATATGACTGCTACTGCTCTTAACAAGGCATTATATCCCACCCTCCCTTTAGAACAACCCTAGTTCTTCATAATTTATGCTGTGCACTTAATAGCCTATACTCACCGCTGTGCGCAAATGACCGCTCCTCTCCTCTCCCAGGCTTCCTCTGACCTCGCTGCATGCTGAGGCGTTGGAAAAAAAAAGCGTTATTGATGTGTTTTTTCCCGCTTTAGTCTGAGAGATGAGTCGAAATGATTTGAATCAATTTCGCCAGTTTTATCCGCGCATCTTGGGGAATTTTAATTACATGCCTTGTTTGCTTTAGAATGAAACAATTCGAATGCCCTTTTGTGTGTCCTTTGAAGCTTTGAAGAAGTGCGCTTTTCTGTTTCGCAAGTGGTCTGCACTTCTGGCACACAATGGGAGAGAATAGGCAGAGTCAATTGTAATTACGAGGGCGGAGATTGCCGAGCGTGATACATATTTCGTTTGTGTTTTTTTTTTTGTCTTCGTTTTTTAATTCCGACAGCCCTTCTGCTCGCTGCACCTTCACCTGGAGATGTCCGAAAACCCGTACACGTCCGGACCGATCACCAGCAAGAAGTCCGTCCCCGGGATCATAGTGGCAACAGGTATGGCTACGCAGTGTGAGAGATGATTTAAACCCCACGGATTGTAAATGACAGAGCTGGTATTCGTCACTTTGCCAAAACGTCGCTTAAGTCATATCAGGTCTGTCAGGTGAATGGAGGAGAGCGGAGAAAGTTAATCAGGCTGTGGCCCCCTCTCCGTCACTGAAATTAGAATTAGACTTGTGCCTTCAATGCCACCAATTTGATGAGGCTTACAAACACTTCCGAAAAGTTAGAGAAGCTTAATAAAGCAATGGGAGATGTGCTGTTGGAGTCAGGGGCTGTGGCTGTGGCTTGGTCAATAGTAATAGTGTTGTTTGAATCTTTAAATGGTATGGATACATTTTTCACAATCTGTTATAATGATTGACAGCTTTAATGCTTACAAAGTTCTTTTAATAAGACAGCAATGTAAATAAGCTATTACTATTACTCCAATCTACAACAAACCTCACACTTACAGCTACCCAGCTTTGGACTGCAAGCCCGCTCCTCTCCCCCTCCCTAGTCCCTTCTCCCTCCCTCCTCACCCCCTTAAGTCTTTCCTGCGCATCCCCCCCCCCCTCACCTAGCCCCCTCTGACGGCCCACATTGGCGAACGGGTCGCCGGAGTTTACTTCCACAATAAAAACGTCTGTGTTTTATCCAAAACATAATGTGTCTTATCCAAACTGTCTTGTGATATGTATGTTACTGCTCTGTGCTGTTTATTCTACGTAAAGATGGCGCCGTGGCAAGAGCTCTGGTGTGTGCCGCCCAAGCCCCGGCGATCCAAGATGGCGCCCTATTCAAATGAATGGTTGTGCTCAGTGGCGCTTTGTGACGGCATGGGGGCTGAAAGATTAGCGGAAGTCGCCTGGAACTCGCAATGATCTATGGGAAACTCTCAAAGATCTATGGGAAACTCGCAAAGATCTATGGGAAACTCGCCTGTATTTGGGCATCGTCTGGTCCTCCCGGTTCTGCGCAGTGGATGATCTCCCATAATGCGTTGCGCCAAACACGCGTGTGTGGGTCTCACACCAGGTCCCATGCACGTGCACAGAGGAGTTCGGCTGCGCTCTGACCAATCAGAGCTGTTCATCAGAGCGGGAGTTAGAGCGAGAGCCAGACGAGCAGAGTTTGTGGCAGTAAAGTGTCGATTTAAACAAAACCGAAGGATTTAAGAAGAGAAAAAGTTCAGGATGACAAGGGACACGAAAATCCCCACAAAATCCGACCTTTATGAAAGCTGTAGGTTCTCTGTCAGCTGAGGTTGAGCTGTTTTAATATGCATTGAGTTCTATGGGGAAAATTTCTGGGTAGCCCACGTGAATTTAGTCTGGTTCAGTCTGCAGTACCGCGAGAATCCCCCGAGCACATGAGTTATTCAGCTACAAGCTAGTAATACCCTATCCAGTTATTATAATAGATCCATGGTGCCGCCTCCGTCTGGTGCAAACTGGGGTAGTCTTGCACAGTTTTTCCAATGTGGTTTTACTGCAAATCTGAATCATCTTAAATGAGTCGAAATGAAGCAGCTACTATTTTTTTACTTGCTAAATACACAATACTAGCTTCTTTACATTTTTGTCTTATTAAAAGAACTTTCGAAGCATAAGAAGACGAAATGAACTTTGTATATTTAATGATCCACAGCTGTTGGAACTATAAAACATGGCAATTTCGTCATTCTTTTTGTTTTGACAAGATTTATTAAATGTAGGCTTAGTGCACTCCCATGTGGCACTGCAAAAATAATTTGAAAACATGTGACCTAAGAGCTAATGTTCATAATAATGGAAGACGAAAACAATTATTATTACTCTTACTGCATGTCATTATGGGTCAGTTGTTGCTGTTCAAAAGCATTATAGTCTACTGACTGATCAAAGCTTGGGTACCTAATTTCCAAACAACAACAAACCAGAACTATGTGATCAAATCCTTATTGCGAGCTCCTGGCTTTCAGAACAGTTTTGGTTCTATCAGTAGTTTTCACATGTATTTTTGGCCTTTGTCACATCTTTAGATCAACTTTTTTCAGACAGAAAAGTTAAAAAGAGAAGATCAGTCATCAGTTCTCAGCCCAAAGTGTCAAATGGGACCAGCGCCTAAAATGTACCATCAAACAAATGGAGCTGTCAGAACTACTCATGAATAGAAAATAAAAGATAATTTCATGATAGAAAAAATCTAAAAGTTATGAATATCAATAAAACTTGATGAGGAACTTGATTTGCAGACAGAGCACCAATGGGGATACATAAAAACACAGAAACACAAGTTTGAAAGACGGATTGAGGTGCAAAGGAGCTGGATGTACATGAGCTGCTTCTTTCCACCTCCAAAACTAAATTTTCTTGGAGTCCTAGTGTTAAACAAAAAAGTTTCGTGCCCCAGCTTTAACCGACACAGTACATGTGCCCAATAATCGACCAGATACTGAAGAAGGAAATCTAGGATATTTTTTTTGCAGAAAAGTGCACCTCAGAGAACTCCCTTCCCATGGCACACTGTAGACTTGTTTTCCTTGTACTGAAGTATATTGCTTTTGTACATCTGAATTTCTCTTACAATTCCTTGGGCTCGCCACACTGGACCAAACACAATTACCAGGCCTTGGTGTATCTAAATAAGCTGCATTCACACCGTGTGCTCGTGTGACCCGCACACAGAGAAAGTGTTCCTCCTGATAGAGTATTGTGTTTCCAGCTCGGCTGCCATGGCAACCTGTATACATCCAGCACTAGTTTCGCTTTCTTCTGATTTGCGCTTTTGAAGAGCTGTAAAAAACATGCTCATTGTGCTGCATGTTGTGTGTGATGTAATTGATATCATGCATTGTGTTGTATTCTCGTTATGTTTCACAACTTTAGTCAAGCGAGAGTTGTACGCTATTGTAGATATCACTTTGTGGTTTTTTTTTATAAAATTGTGTATGTATCTTTTGACCAAAGAACATACACACACATACACACCCAGGTAAAGGACAGCTCCATGTTTTTTATATTTTTTAAACCAGAACATAAACATACAAATGCACACGCACGCACACACACATGCACAATGGACACCACACTAAACATACAGTATATAAAATACTTTTTTTGTGTTAAAATAAAATTGATGTCATGACAACAAAGTGCCGACAGCAGGTCATGGCATTGAGCTTTATTGTGCCCAAATGCTTGTGCAAATCGCATAAAATTCTAACAAAGTAACCATTTGACATTGGTTGCATTTCTTGTGTTTGATCTGCTTGATTCTCTGTGGGCGCAATGGCGTTAATGTACAAGTGAGCCAAACTAAATGTTATTACTTTTCACAGAACATAGAGTTTGACATGTTATAATCAACAACATACACAAAACAGGTTCAACTTTGAGTGGGTAAATTACAACACAATGACAACATCTGAAGAGCTCATTTTGTGAACACTAGAGTCTCACATTTGCTCGTGCTTCTCCTCAGGGAACATCGGCTCGGAACTCTCCACCTCAAACCTGGGAATGTACATCACTGCAGACGCCGCCAACAGCTGGAGACAGGTGATCCCTGAGTCTCGCACACATCCCTGAGTCTCGCACATATAGATCTATCTGTCAGCACGGGCAGCATGGTGGTGCAGTGGTTAGCGCTTGTGCCTCATTGCAAGAAAGTCCCGGGCTAAATTCCAGGCCTTTCTGTGTGGAGTTTGCATGTTTTACCCATGTCTCAGAACAGATCTGACATCTTGGAAAGGCAAACAAGTAATAAAAATCCCGAACGATTCCTTTTGTTGCCTGTTAATTACAGCACTAACACCATGTCTGCATAGGTTTCCTCCGGGGGGTGCTCTGGTATCCCCCTACCACAGAAAGTATGACCCCACTCCCATCTGGAGAGAGAGACAAATGCCCACAACAATTGTGAAGCGCCTTGTGATTCTGGTCTGTGACAGGCGCTATATAAATAAATAAAGATTACCTAGTTACATCACCACACTATCCCCTTCTGTCCCCGCTCTGCCCATGTTCAACACAATTACCTGCATTTACATGATTCCTTTGCGCAGATCTTCGACGAGGAGCACAACATTTGGTTTTTGGACAACGGCGGCGCACTCCTGGCCGTCCTCCACGCCGCGCAGCCCATCCGACACTTGTGGTGGGTGCTCTGACTCCGCAATTACAGCAGACAAAATCACCTGGGTGCCATTCCATTCCCGATGCATGATTGCGCTTAATGTTTCGGAGCGCTGGGTAGGCTCAAGTTTTCCGGATTATGGAGAGAGAAAAAAATGGAGAGGTCTCGGTTACAGCTTCGTCCTGTGATGGTTGGAGTGCTTTTATGTAAATGCGTGTGGAAAATATGGACCCGTAAGTTGATCGCATTGTGGGAGTCAGTAACGATATCTACGCTCTATCCACCCCACCCCCCTACGCATTCGGGCAACTGTCAAAATTGATTAAGTCGAGAGGAGAATGATTTGAAAACGGCACGCAAAAGAGAAAAAAAATCCATCCCGCCTTTTGTCAAACGTCCATATTCCTCTGTTTGTAGCGTACACACAATTCGCACACCAATGACCTTTTGCATCTGCCGTGGCATTGTCTGCGGAGATTGCGTCAATCCACAAATGTTTTCTTACATTTCTTGCAGGATCAGTCTGGACGAAGGCAAGAAATGGGATCGGCACACTTTCTCTTCAGCGCCTCTGTACGTGGACGGGGTTCTGATGGCGCCCGAATCGGAAAATCACATTATCACGTAAGTAACAGACTTTGAGAGGAATCCACGCGGAGTCAAACAATATCAGTCTAGGGAAATTATCTCTGCAGTGAAGGTATAAACACCAGAATGCTCACTGCTTCGTGATTGGTGGTTAAAAGAACAAGGCTGTTAGGCGCCTTGAGTATATTTTTGAAAGATTAAAAACAGCAAACCGCTATTATGATGATGATGCGTTTCACTGATTCAACAACTTTCAAGTGAATATATTACTCAATTTGGGAGGTAAAGAAAGAAGGTGAAAACTAATTTAAGTTTATTGTAAAAGTAACCACTCACATCTAATTGCTGGAGATGAAGAGATCCTTTATTTGTCCCATAGTGAGGAAATGTCAGTGTTGCATCACAGAACAGAAGGAATAAGGAGCACGCAACACAAGATAAATAACTCTACATTGAAATAAATTAAAATCTCTAACTTTAGCATAAAAAGAAGCAAGAATAACATCTCTAGCTTCAGCATAATAAGGAAGCAAATCTAAAATCTCTGACTTTAACATAATGAAGAAGCAAGAATTAAGTTCAAAATCTCTAACATTGGCATATTAAAGAAGTATAAAATTATGTATGTTCCAGTGCAAGAAATTAGGGCTGGGCGATAAAACGATAACGATATATATCACGATAGACATGTGTTCGATATCATTAGAGAATAGGGCCGATAGAATGTTCGATAGTTTAACTTAACTCCGTCAGGAAAAACAAGAAGAAAACACCGGAAGTAAAGCCGACTCATAAGCGCATGGCATTGTGGGGGATGTAGGCAGAGGCTTCTCGACCAATAACAGCCGAGCAGGAACCGCAAAACTTTGTGGGAAATGCAAAAACAACAACAACCGCACCATGCATAGCGTCCATGGATCTATAGCTCGTGTTTCAATGCCGTGTCAATGGTTATGCACGTACGTGCGCGGAATAACATGTGCGGCGGCAGATGTGTTTTCTCCTTGCTGTGTCTTCTCCCCACTCTTATCTCACATTCCTCGGGCCAAGGCCATAATAATAAATCTGGTCTCTACAACAATTCACACTCTTTCAGTCAGTTCCAGCTTGGATCCCGCTCCCCCCGCCTCCCTCTGATCTCTCCCTCCCCTCCACTCCTCAATGTGTTTCCGACTCACCCCCTCCCTGACCCCGCCCCCCTCTGACAGCCACATTGGACCGGTAGCCGGAGGTGCGCATCCCGTGAAAAAAATCCGTGGTTTATACAAGCCACAATGTTTTCTATCCAACTGTCTGTTGTAACCTGAATGTTATTGCTCTCTGCTGTTTATTCTACTGTTTGTCGCATGGCGCCGGAAAGATGGCGCCGTGGCAAGAGCTCTGGTGTGTGTCGCCTTCTCTGTCTGGCGCACACCGGGGTAGTCTTGCACAGTTTTTCCAATGTGGTTTTACTGCAAATGGCAAATAAATGAATCTGAATCTGAAGAGGCAGTGGACAGACCCGATGTATTCGGCGAAAGCAAGAGATTAACTTTTTCCTCGGGAAGCATGTGCGGCACAGAGAGCCACACGGAGCGGCCACGGGGACACAAGACCCTCAAACAGCTAAACCAGGAGCTAAACCAGGAATAAAAAACCAGGATTAAACCAGGACTAACAACGAGGGACACAGTGTGAACATATTTCTCCAGCCTCATCGCCCCGTGACTGTAAACAAGGCTGCTAAGGTTGGTTAGCCCACACGACAAATATATTTATTTAGGTTAAAAAAAAAATTCAATATATATCGTTATCGACCGATATGAATGACTTATATCGTGATATAGTTTTCAGCCATATCGCCCAGCCCTACAAGAAATATATAGATGTATGTATGTATCTGTACATGTTAGCGGCATGAGGGTTAGCAAAACAATTCAAGTTTAGTAGTTTGTGTTTACGTTTTGCAGGTTCTTCGGACACTTCAGCTACAGGTCAGAGTGGCAGCTGGTCAAGATCGACTACAAGGGCATCTTCAGCAGGAGGTGTATGGACGGGGACTATCAAACATGGCACCTGCACTACAAGGTAAGCACACTGTGGCTGGAGAAAGTGACCTGGACTTAAATACAAGTATTATATCCATGTATTATAGAGCTAAAGGTGCACACGGCTTTTCCATAAAGGCGACGCCCAAAGCTTAGCGTGTTCAGTTTTCTTGGCAGTGTGAGGGGTGACTACTATGTTAACAAGTCCGATGACACTTTCCCATCTCCACATTTGCGTAACATAGAGCAGTTCACAACCCACTCAACCAAGTGACGGTGCAGACAAGTGCCAATCATTTGAATCATTTGATCATTTGAAAATCCTCCTGAATAATCTGTGTATCACCGAGTGCGATTCTTTTTTTTACAAAGTGGAAAACAGTGGCTGTGTATTTGGCCGTGTTAATCAATCCAACATGCATGAATCTCTCTCAAATACAAGCGCACGCACGCACGCACGCACGCACACACACACACACACACACACACACACACACACAGCATAACAGAGATATTAAAATTGTTGTTGGTTGAAAGCTCTCAAATATCAATTTGTACGTTTTGTCCTTAAAAAGGGAACATTAAGATCCACCTGAATAGTTATAATTTCCTGATAAATAAATCAAATAGTGCTCATGTTGGAATGCCTGTTTGGGCCAGTCTGACTGGAGTTTGCATGTTCTCCTTGTGTCTACAATGGTTTCATCAATGAATTCTGACGTGAGTTGTTCTTACTGAATTTCTTTTCTGACCAAGATCCTACAGAACTGAACTGTACTTCTGTTCTAAGGGTTAACCTGTGGAATGGTCTTCCAGATTAAAAAAGTAATCTGATTAAAAAAACCTTAAACAAATATGTTCATTTAAATTGCAATCGTCAATGTATGATCTGCAAAATCAATGAAAATATTTAGAAGAGGTGATGAGCCTCTGTCAAAGAGGGTCGGCCCAATAAGCCACGGCGCCAGCTTATTATTGGTTATTTATGATTAATGTAAAGCTGTATGTTTTTATTTATTTTATTTTATTTTTATTATTTACAAGTTGCAGTTGAATGAATAAATGAAATAATAAAATAATCAAGTTGCTGCTTTTTAATGTTTTTCTTTTAATAGTCTTCTCATCATAGTTCTCTCTAAACCGAGTGACTTGACTGAACAGCTGTACCCCACAAATGCAGGATGATACAAAAGTCGTGTCTGCAAAAGTTGTGCGGTCCCAATGCAGACTGTGTCATAGTGTGTATTGTGTGTGTGTGTGTGTTGTGCCTGACAGGGGGAGCTGTGTGTGATGGGGGAGAAGCAGGTTTATATGAAGCGTCGTCCTGGATACCGCTGCATGCTGGCACAGGACTACTCCAGGATCTACTCCTCTGAGCCCTGTGTCTGCAACTCCTATGACTTTGAATGGTAATGTGTAACGTGCTGTTACTGACACACACTGGGCTTCACTGTAGTTTAGAAATGTTTACTCAACCATTTCTCTACTATTGCATCAGTCGCCAAAAATGTAGGAATGATTTTGCAAGATTGTTTTTTAAACTTTATTTAAAATGAGTTGCCAAATGTAAAAGACTTTTTCCACATTTTTAGAAAACCCACATAACAAAATGAATTAGAAAATAATAAAACAAGTGAAAAAACTATGGCACGGTGGAGCAGTGGTTAGTGCTTTTGTTAGATTCATTTCAAACCTGCAGAACACCATTTCACATATCTGTGCACTAATACAGAAGCAGATGCTTATTTGTTCCCAACCCCCATCACAATATTACACAGAATACAATCCAATCAATCAACACACAATATAATACCCTGCTGTCCGTTTCAAGTCACGAGGAATCATCACGACTCATGATCATGAGAGTTTGAGTTGCCTGGTAACTGCGATCTCACTAACATCATGATGATCATGAAATGATGATGAGTTCCTGCAAGAATAAATGTAATATGATTATAAAGTGTTAATTCATGAATAAATGAAATGTGTCTGCACATGGTGCAAGTGATGATAATCTTAAAGAATGAAGCTGTGACTCCACCTGCTGCCCACTAGTACTGACCGGTCCTGACTGGTCCCACTGGTCCTGACCGGTCCCACTGGTACTGACTGGTCCTGACTGGTCCCACTGGTCCTGACTGGTCCTGACTGGTCCTGACTGGTCCCACTGGTCCTGACCGGTCCTGACCTGTCCTGACCGGTTCCAGCTCTCTGAGAGAAACACAGACAGTGAAATATAGCTTTACCGCGCTGTCCCCAAGAGGCGTGTGAACATTTGATCTTGAACGGTCCAAACCTGAGCCCTTAGTGCTGGAGAGGAGGTGTATAAAACACATGACTTTGAGCTTTTCGGTTCTTATTTTACAACAGTGTTCCTCCAGGAATGTTATTTACCTTCATTTCTGTACAAAGCTATCCTTTCAACACCTACATCCAAAAACAATACACATTTCTGAATACATACATTTTGAGATAGTGCTGTACCCAACGGTTCTTCCACACCTCACTTTTGGACGATTAACCAGACGCCAGTGTGAAATCAGCTCCTGTCAGCTAAATAACTATGTCAGATTGCAGCGTAACAGGATAAGCCCTGGATCATTCTGATGGATGCGAGTTAGCAACTTTCCATCACGCCGCTGTAATTTGCATAATGTGGGGACAAGTGGCTTTTTAGAATTCAATTAATAATGAATGGGCAAATTAATTTTAAATATCTTTTATCCATTGGTGAGAAATTCTGTTTGATCCTGCTTGTCTGACAATCCTGTCTCCTCTTAAATTATGCTGCTGCACTCCAACTGTGAAGTATTTGCCCTCACACAGAAGAGAAGCAGAATTTGGCGCTTTATAATTTCATGAAGTAACATTTTTTCTGTTTTTTGTTAAATTCTTTCTTGGCAGTGATTATGGGTGGGAACGCCAGACGGACGGAAAGTGCTCCCCTGCCTTTTGGTTTAATCCAAATGGAGCTGCTAAGAGCTGTAGCAACAGTCAAAGTTTTTTTAACAGCACAGGGTAAGTGGCCTCCAATGCAATCATCACAAAAGGGTGTCATTCCATTCCAGCGCATTTGTCTTTTTGTGGATGTAACATAATAGTTGTCTGCTGTTTCCAAGAAAGTGGAGAAAAATGTGTGTAATTGTGTTTGTGTTCTGAACCTTGAAACTGATGAGGAGTACTTAATGTGACAAGATCTGCAAAATAAGAACAATTATACAAGAAAAGACAGGAAAAAGGACTGAGTAATTACATTATAAAAGAACTGCATGGATTACACTCTTGAACACAAAAACAACAGGTTTTGTAATGCATTATACAATACTATTTATTCATGTGAACAAATCAGACCACAACAATCTGTCTTTAGCTAAGGGGAGTCCAAACTTTTTTAGAGAGGGGGCTTCTTTAGTTCACCAGAATTATCCAGAGGCAAAATGAGGTATTACATCGCTGATAAAGTTGGTTGAAGTATCTATCTCTTTATCTAATTAGCAATTTTGACCAAATCATACTTTTTTAAACAAACAAAATGGAATTCAAATGGATTAAACCGTTAATTATTTACACTGCTTTACTATAGTTGAACGTGTTAGCATCCTTTTTTGGTCTTTGGTGTAAACAGAAACCCACATTGCACAGCCAAAGGTCACACTATCAGACTTCACCTCTCATGTCCTTCTAAGGTACCGTAAGGTCCTGTCCAACAACTGTAAGGAGGTGGGACGAAGCACGTTCTCCCCCAAGAGGCAGACGTGTCGCCCCAGAGCACCCCAGGGCCTGCGCCTCACCACCAGCACCGCCGAACTCAGCGCTAACATGGGAACCAATGTCACCTTCATGGTCCAACTGGAGGATGTGAGTCCAACTACAACATGCCCATCCATTACAACATGACACAGCACGGGCGAACAGCCACAAAAAAACACTACATTTATTGTATTTTCAGTTTTGAGAAATGCAAGATTATATCTGTAACTGTGTATCTATTGGCGTCACTATAGACAGTGATATTAAATTTGACAAACAAGTTGACGATGTTTTAAAATTGTGTCGTTATCATCTTTGGCTTTTATCCAAAGCAAAGCTATTTTTATCATTTCTTTTGTTAGAACAGGTTGTGCATGCTTTTAATTCAAGTCTGGACTACTGCGACGCACTTTATGCTGGCGACTCCCTGTTGCAGTTGGTTCAGAACGCAGCCGCACGACTTTTAACGGGGGCCAGGAAACGCGAACACATCACCCAAATATTTGCGTCTTTGCACTGGCTCCCAGTTCATTTTAGAACTGATTTTACAATGTTAATGTTTGTCTATAAGTCTTTGCATGGACTGGCCCCTCATTACATCTCGGACCTCGGATCCTGCGCGAGCTCTAAGGTCCGAGGTGAAAACTCGGGGGGTCGGCCCAAAGCTTTGGAACGCTCTTCCACCCCATGTTCGGACTGCCCCCAGAGTCTCGCCTTAAGACCCACTTTTCTTCTTTGGCTTAACACTACATAAGTTGTGTGGTCCTCTGTGTTTTATTTCTATTTATAGTTTTAATCTGTTTTATATATTTTTATTGTTTTATACTTGGTGGAGCTAAGGATAGCTAAGGTTTTTTTGTTTGTTTTTTGTGCATATATGATACTTGTTTGTGCAGCACTTTGGAAAAGTTATTGTTGTTTATATGTGCTATATGAAAAAAATGGATTGGATTATCTGTATTATAGTAACGTGTGCACTGTCACTAGAGTCCGTCAAGATCTAGGAAATAAAGATGGCAGCATTTCATTACGCTGTTCTAACGAATCAAACTACCAGTCCTTAAAACCACAGCAGCTAAAGGCAGTGGCAGCAACCAAACTGTGTTTACTTTCTCATCAAGAGGGCTCACCGAAGCTGATCAGACAACATGTCCACCCATCGCCATATTGGTCTTGTTCGAGTTTGTCCCGCCTTTGAGATTGAAATGCTACAGTTGTCCTTAATGTCTCTGTTTTCCCTTGACGGAGTGGTGGACAATTAACAATTATTTTAAGAAGCCTTTCTACATAGAGGGTGTGTTTGCGTACCGCTCTTTTCGAGGTAGTATACTGTAAATGTGGCTTTAAGACACTGAATTACTCTCGACCCATCTCTCCAAATTGTCAAATGAAACATAAAATATAGTCAATCAATCAAATTTTCTTTATAAAGCGCTTTTATACAAAAAAAATGAAACACAAAGTGCTTTACAGATTAGATAAAAATAATCCAAAATGCCCAGCCCTAAACCCCACCGCTCCACAGACCCACCCATAAACCATTTTTATTAGTAAATATACACCCACATGCGCGCACACACACACACACACACACACACACACACACACACACATATATAAAGTCACATCAGATAGGTAAAAAAGGTAAAACAATGAAAAGATATAAGGCTGGGTGCAGATGTATCCAGCTGAAGAAGCGCCATCCAAGGAGCCACCTGCAGCCACAGGGAACGACACAGAACCCAGAGGAGAGAGGAGGCCCCAAACCCCCACGAGATCCAAGAGCCAGACCCCCGCAGCCACAGCAGACCCCAGCTCCCAGTGCAGAGGGTTCCTCCAGAGGAAACACTGGGGATTCTAAAACAATACAATTGAAAGTATTAAAAAGTGACACTAAAAAGAAAATGGCAGCTACCTACGATTAATAATAACAATTGTAAATGGGTAGATAAAATAAATAAATAAAAACCTAAATAAAATGTGTCTAAAAACATAAATGAATTTACTAAAACGCAATGATAAATTATAAATACTAATCAAAAGCTAATCTAAAAAGGTGTGTCTTGAGCCTGCTTTTAAAAATACAGAACAATCATATCAACACAATCCATTCTTACTTTGTACACCAGTTGCCCTTGTTTGGAGCAATGTCTTGTTTGAGCTATCACTTTTTGTAAATCTCTATAGTATTCCTGTCTCTTCTCACCGATACCCAGCTCCGAAGCATTTCTGACATGTCACAGGGAGACGTGGACGTGTGAGCACTTTAGCCATCGGGAGACTCATTCGCTCTTAAGCCCCGGTGACAGGAGCCGATGTCTCTGTCTGGTCCCCAGGGAGACGCTCAGAGGACTACCATGCAGCTCGACTTCGGAGACGGCATCCGCATCACCTACTCCAACCTGAGCAGGACTAACGACGGCATCAAGCACATCTACAGAGCCACGGGGATTTACCGCGTCACGGCCCACGCCCAGAACAGCCAGGGAGCGGACAGCAGCGCCTTGTTCCTGCACATCACTAGTACGTGTGAACCGGGGCTAAACGGCAAAAAGAGATTCAAAAATAAGTCAAAAATTGCTCAAATTTGGCTAATTGTATGTTAATTTGAGTACATTTTGACTGCAAGATTTGACAACGGAATAGGCAAAATAATCTTGTAAAGCAACAGTCCTTGAGATAAAGATTTACCAACGAGACAAACCATTTAGTGTGAAAGGTATGCAGGAGGATTGGCACAAATTTTAGGAAAGAACCACCCTCTCCACTTTTTGAACAAAACTCTCTGGTCTGATTTGACAAGCACGTATCACCAGAATGATTGACAATTACCAATAGCCTTGATGATCCACCCGGAAGTAGAAAATCCATATACCAGTCAGAAACTATTTAAATTAATTACAAAACCACTCGATTCAAGCAGTAATGACCTTTATATTTGATATTTTTTCTGTGTGGAGGTGGTGGTGGAGGGTGATGGTGGTAATGGTAAACTTCAAAAAGTTATGGAAAATAACTCAAACATTTTTCAAATTTGGCTAAATGTATCTTCATTTGAGCACATTATGACTGCCATGGATTGTCTCAGTTGGAATGAGAAAAATAAAGCAACAGTTCTTGAATTTAGATCAAAAGGCTTTGTCACATTGGCAAATCTTGTTTTAAGACAGTCAGAATCTACTCAAAGTTAGATGAAAACCACTTTACGCAAGCAATTCTTAACTAATATTTTATAATTTCTTGCAGTATGGTGGTGATTCTATAGGCAGGGAGCGAGCACAAGTATAGCATGATATGTAGTCATGGGAAGCCTCACTGCCTCGGCCATGGTTCTGCTGCTACCCTGATAGCTTTTAGAACATGAAAGTACTGGGCATAGCAAATTTATATGGGATTTACGATTGTTGCAGATGTGCATTCGCTGATAAAGAGAGGATAATAGCAGAATGTATTTCAAAGGGATTTTTTGAAACCAGAATAATATAGCGTGAATAGAGAGTTGTTAACATTACGGGGGGTAAAAAGAGAGTTTTAACAAAGAACATGTTATATTATTATGTATGAGTAGCACACTGTAAAAAAGTAAATCCGTCATAGGTGAACAATGTTATAGTGACGAACCACAGCAGTGACATTCCTGTTTCTTACCGTACTTGTGTAAGCAGCAAAAAATAGATTTTGTAATGCTAATCAACACTTAAACATATCCAGACTAAAGAAATACACAGTGAAAGGTACACCATGCCTTTTTGTTTTACAATTTAGGTATGTTTTCTGTTGGACAATAGAGCCAGACTAAACAAACTTTTGACAAACTAATTACGCCCCAGCCAGAAGTCCTTCACCTGCATCTCAAAATTAATCGCATTGAGCACATTGTAACCTATTCTGCATTATGAAAGTTATCATAGTCTAATGTATTCATACATTTTGCTCACACTGGTTTCCTCCATAATGATACACTGTTTAATTAACCTACTTAAAAACAAGTCTCCTGTTGTTTCATTCATTTTAATGAGTCCATGTTTACAGTCAAATCCTTATACATGTGCAATTTTAGACAATCAATGAACTGTACATGGTCACGACGTGTTTTCTTTGCCCTGATAAGTTGAATTAATGATTGTTATTATTCTAAACATCTCGAATTATGACCAGGGTTTATATAGGTTACACAACAACTGAAGGCTGTTTGGAGAGATGTACTTCAATACTAAGATTATGTTGTTTCTGTAGCTCTTATATGCATACTTAATGTAGAGTGTGAATGCGTGTGTGTGTGTGTGTTCGTGTCTGTGTGTGTTCATTTGTGTGTCTGTGTGTGTGTACGTCTATGTGTGTGTCTATATGTGCATCAATGTGTCTGTCTGTGTGTATGTGTGTTTGCCTCTGTGTGTGTGTCTGTGTGTACGTCTATGTGTGCGTCTATGCGTGTGTCTGTTTGTATGTGTATTTATGTGTGTATGTGTCTCTGTGTGCGTCTATGTGTGCATCAATGTGTCTGTCTGTGTGTGTCTGTGTGTGTGTGTGTGTGTGTGTGTGTGTGTGCATATATGTGTGTATGTTCGTGTCTGCGTGTGTTCATTTGTGTGTCTGTGTGTGTGTACGTCTATGTGTGTGTCTGCCTCTGTGTGTGTCTATGTGTGCATCAATGTGTCTGTCTGTGTGTGTGTGTCTGTGTGTGTCTGTGTGTGTGTGTGTGTGTGTGTGTGTGTGTCGGTGTCTGTGTCCCTCAGGTCCAGTGGAGCGCATCTATCTCTTTGCTCCCATAGTGACGGTCCGGGGGAAGGAGGCCAACCTGAGTGTGCTGGTTTGGCCTAACCACACCAGAACCCTGACCTTCTTCTGGTGGTTTGACAACAGCTCCGAGGTTGGTTCACAATAACAAACACACAAATACACACACACAAGCGTGCATGCCTCTGTTTATCACACCACTTCGAAAAGCAATAATCTGCCTTCCCTACAGCTAATAATGTGTTTGTAAGATCTCAATGTCTCAGCCTGATTATGCGCAAAAAGTGTTTTTGTGATTCGAGTAAATCAATATTTTTGTTCATGTTTGTTCCAATTTTGTCCAGTTCTTGGTTCATGTCCAGCATCGTTCATAGGTTTTTTGAATATTGTCACAAATATTTAGACTATAGTTGATATGTACCGAAAAAGAAGCGGTGGATGTGTTTTGTTTGGATTCGATGATGGAGAAATTAGCTCTAAACTAAGACTAGAAGAAAGACAGTTTAGCTGCTCTCTACTACAATTTAAAACTATAAGCTCTTTGAAATGCAGGGATGTTAGAAATGCGTGTCCTCCATCCATCCACCCATCATGGTCCATCTCCACCACAGAAAAACAAGCCCCCAACTGTTACATCCAGGGATAACGTTTGTTGTTAAAAACCGGGTGTGGACTGATGTAAAAAATGAGAGTCAGAGATCAGCGACTATGCAAAAAAATAATAATTATTATGAACTCTCAGAATGACTAACAAACAAAACGCACAGTTGGATGCTGACGTGAGCGCTCAGTTGGCCCCGGGGCCTTTTTTTTCCCGGGTAGAATGGCTTCCGGCAGATGCGGGCCATCAGCCAGTGGGCGGTGCAGAGGCGGCCGAGCTGAAGGGGTGGAGGTGAGGAAAAGTACAATGCCAAGGCCCATAACAGTTACAAAATGTTTATCATTTGCCATATGAACTTATTCCTCACTCGCCGGCAAATGCATCTTAAATATTCAACTCAAGAAGCACCGATAGAAGAGAGACTGACTATTTTTGACATATACTACATGTCGTGGGGAAACTTTTCATTACAACCACGGCTAACATACAGGACATTCTCTCGTGATTTATTTACAACAAAAACCATAGCAGCTACTACTTGTGACCTTGGTAAGACTCCTTCTCCATTTTACAAGTGTGTGTATATGTGGTGTTTAGGATCAACACCCCGCCATATTGAAATAAAATACTTATATCACCCAGGTGTTTACTACTGACAGTATACTTGGTGAACTATTAAAATCCAAAAGATAGAGATAAAAAGTGTCGATGCTAAACTCTCTTTTACTGTACACAGCTGCCTGCTCATTATGCGTTGGTGTCAAGGGCTCCTCCTGCTCGTGGTGCTTACTGCTGCTGTATTTCCTCTCTTTTTTTCCCTTTGATTCCAGCCGCTCATAACCTTGGAGGGAAGCATCTCCTACGTCTTTCAGAGAGCGGCCCAAAGCAAGGTCACGGTCCAGGTGGCCTCAGGGAGCGACGTTATGCAGGACTCGAAAGTGATCACTGTGAAAGGTGAGCTGCAAACACACACCAGGAGGCTAATTGAGAAACGCTATTGTGCAGCGTGGAGGAAAGAACGGTGCTTTTTGGAATCAGCTGCATTGTTTACAACCGCAACAATATGTTTCTCACAGCAGTCAAAGTTTAAGTGTCACTCTAGATCAATGTTGTGCAGTGTCAAGCAGGATGTTTCAGAAATGAGAAAATCCCTGTTGTTTCATTCATTTTAATGAGTTCTATGTATATTTCGAACCTGCACTATACAGTATATATGTTTATGTATATCAATATAACAGACTTACAATACTTTATATAACAGTACTAAACTTGCACCTGGTTCGAAAGGGGGTTGGATGAAGCAGATGCTTATTTGATTCCAACCCCCATCCAACATACACTGTTCTAACCATATCATGCAGTAGAATTCTCAAACAGTTATACAGTATTCCACTGTCAAACAATACCACCGATGTTACAAGACAGACAACACAAAACACACACACACACAGAGTAAAGCAGGAAGTGTATGCAATGAGAAAATATCTGGCGTGTAGTGAAGGAAAAAGTACTTACAAAGCCCAGGGATACCATGATTATTACTTAACATTGTCTTAATTTTGTTCACAATCATTTCTACCAGAGCAGAGCCTGATGTGGGGAGAGTCTGTCACACACTTTCTCAAGTCCTATACGCTTTATTTGTACATGTTTATCGCAGGTAGGACAAACATGCAGGCCGCTAGACGCAAGCATTGAATGTATAAGAGGTTACTATGGCGACCATGGCATGTTATACCTCATTTTTAAGCTTTCTCAGGAAAACAATCCCTAAATAATTTCTTTCTATATTGCAATTACAAGCCTCCCTTTTATTCCGTACAGTTTTGGTTCAATCCAAACATGACTGAACTAATTTTGTTCAGAACAAATCTACTATAAAAGAATATCCAACTAAAAGCTAAAATTGAATTTTAATCATTTAAAAAAAATTATACAGTAAATAACCACAGATCTTTTTCCACAAAGTCGAAAGTCCGTTTTGTATATCTTTCAGAGGTCAGAGCAGTGAGATCACTCAAGGTAAACGCACACAATACAATACAATACATCAAAATAATATCTGGTACAGGCTGTTAAGTAGTTGTGTTTTTTTCTCACAACAATAGAAACTTTAACATTTGATGTAGTAGTATCTCTAACCTGCGGCCCCAAACTCTTCAGTGGCCCTCCCATCAGTTCACAAAGGGTAGGCTGATCCTTGAAAACCCTGTCTTTCCACAGAGTACTTCAGGTCCCTGCTGTTGTCTTTCTCTCCGGCGCTTGACGAGCACAACCCTGACATCCCAGAGTGGAGGGAGGACATCGGACGTGTGGTGCGGACAGCTCTGTCACAGGTACATGGCTCCCAGCCTCTCCCCAAGCCATTTCCCCCACCCCCTCCATCCAGCCGGGCCACTGCTGCTCTCAGGAACATTACTTTTTCATAGCTCGGTCTGGCATGATACAAAATTCATCACGTTTTATGGTTCACATGACAAACTTTTAGCCGTTTTCCACATGACCCGTGTTGACGGTAAAGGGACAAGGCTCTATAATGTATTAGCCCGCTGAGATTTTCTGCACGGATTTAAAAGAGAACATATGGATTGGTACATGATGAGGCGGGTGATGGCTGTTACTTTAGACGACTTTGTTTTGTGACTTTTTGGCCTGAGTCTTTGGGATGCACACATTTCAAAGAGCTGCACAAAATATTGGCTCATTGTGAATTTATTATACATCTGATCATTTCATCAGATTTTTCCAAGCACTGAGCCCATGGAGGCACAGGACTTCAACCGTTCAAAATGGTTTAAACTATGACTTCTAGAGGTCAAAGTGACATGATAGGACTGAGCTGCCAAAACACTGCTAACATGTCATAGATGTTTGCTCTTGATCAGATTCGCTGTCTCTGTGAGAAATGCCCAAACCTTTAACATGGAGCTTTATAACAACAACACCATGAACTCACCCATGAGTTCAGCATGTGTGACCTTCAATAATGATAATCATCATTAGTTTCACAGTGAACATGAACTCATCATGAACTCATCATGAACTCATCATGAACTCATCATGAACTCATCATGAACTCATGGGTGCAGTGCTGGGCAGTACCAGTCCATCCTGGGTGATTGAGTGTGTGTTTGTGAGTGCGACTGTGGGACTACACATGGAAATTCCCCCATTGCTTCAAACTGGTGTATTAAAAGCTGCTGCTGTTCATGAATACACACTGTTCCATTCAAATAAATAATGAATTAAAAAAGAATAGAAATACAGACAGGGATCCTGAGTGTTATTTCAAACTCTGGTCAGCCTGTCTAACACAAGCATAAGCACAATAAATAAAAGCAAAGTTCTGGTTACTACAAAAATGCAAAAGTGGCACCAGACCGTCCAGCTTGGCAAAGTTACATATTTGAAACACAAAATATGTAAACGCGACATGATTAAACAGTTTTTAAAAGAAAATCTTCCAGTGTTAAGAGCCTGAACTCCGGTTGAACAAACATGACAATTACGATGATAACCAGGCAGCTTGTGAATAACTACTTCAACATAATGAATAATATTGCTCTCTTCTAATGAACAGCGAAGGCCGACCTGCGTTCTCATACAATCACAGTAATGAGATTTGAGCCTGTGATAAACAAAAACCAGAGAACATAACTTGCATCTGAATACTCTCCCCATAGTCAATTTAATGCTTTGTTGTTCCCACTACAAGACTGTTCCCACTGCCCTCTGTGTAATGATGATGATGATGATGATGATGATGATGATGATGATGATGATGAGGGCGTTTTATTGAAAGGTGTCAGGAGTAGCGGAGGAGCAGCTGTTGGTGACGCTGTACCCAGGACTGCCCACCACCGCCGAGCTCTTCATCCTGCCTGAAGCACACGTCATGGGGGAGCACAAGAGGAGGAGTGAGGGCCTGGACACGGTAACACACTACTCACAATCAAGTCAAGATTCAGATTCAGATTATTTGCCATTTGCAGTAAAAAAAACACATTGGAATACATGTGCAAAAGTCCCCAGTGTGCACCAGACAAGTACACAATTAATGCAACGAAATCTTCTTCAACAATATCTTCTGCCAGAGGGAAGAAGCTGGAACATGGCTTTTCCAGGGGCTGAAAGAGTTATTGATTATTCCAAATGAAAAAAAATGTATTATCAATTATCAATTATATTATTATCAAATTATTACAGATTGTTAATTTAGTCGACATCTATGACTATAACCACTAAGTAGGGCATTTTGAGTTTTGTGAAGTTTTATGAAAAATAGTGTTCACAACGATTTATTAGACTGAGGCTTTGGGTTTATTGCCAATATTGCTCAAAGTTATCGTTGACCTGTTTTTTTTTTATTATTTAATTGTTCAGAATCCAAGTCAAAACTAGGCTGGCATTTTAATATGGAAACTAATATGGAACTAAATCAAAGTGCTATTTATAAATCACACAATGTTTTTCCGTCTTTATTTCCTTTCACAAGTCCAACGCAGCTGAGCCCCTTTTAGACAAGATCTTGTGTGAAAATAAAAAAACTGCTACACTGGCACAACCCTAAGACTATTGACTGTTCACCTGCAGTATTTTGGTACAGTACATGGTTTGTTTTGTGATGCTACAGACGCACTTCCTTTGTATGTTTCAGATATCAGATATTTTTGTCACCGCCCTAAACCAAGGCCTGGTCCAGTTTGAACTCAAAGCAAATATCCGCATTGTTGTGTACGTCACTCAGCAGACTTTAGGTAAGTTTTAAGTTTGTTTCCTCTTCTGCAGTAAACACTAATATTTATGTGACGTATAAAACACAGTGAGATTTTATCATTAGTTGTAAATTATGTTGGACTGTTCTGCAAGTGGCTGCTTTTTCAGTTTGCAGTAGGGAAGAGTTGTTTTTTTCCACTGACGCAAACCTTTGGAAAAGGAATTGATGTTTTACAATTATGTTTGAGGATGCTGGAGGGATTACGTCTCTCAGCTGGCCTGGGAACGCCTCAGGATTTACCAGGATGAGTTGGAGAGGGGACTCTGTTTAGAAACACATGGAAGTTTGGTCCTGGTTTAGAGTCAGCAGAACCTCTCCGTCACACAGAGGCTGTCATGGTCCAGCAGCCTGGATGTTAGTTTGTCCAGAATACTTCTGCCCCCTCCTGCTGCACTGTGTCCAGGGGATGGAGCTGGACTTCCTGATGACCGTGTCCAGCTTGTGTCTGTCCCTCTCTATGATGCTCTATCTCCAGCAGACCACTCCCTGAGGATGATGTCACACTCACAAGAGATCCCTAACCCCTCATTATTATTCACATTCATGTGGCCTCAAGCACCTTAGAGCAGCTTTTACACACATTAAAGTCAAATCAATAGACAATAAAAAGTCAGAATCAACTATTTCGGATTTATTTTTCTCCAAGGATGAAAAACCCATGGAGATATACAGTCCAGCCTATTATAAAATCTAATTATAGGATGGCATAACACTCATAGAGCTTGGAATTGTGCCGTCACACCTCATTGAATTTTCAGTTACACTATGATAAATCAATGAAGATTTTAAGATGCTAGATACTGAATTAACATTAATTCTAAAGTGTTCTGATGCAAGAATGATAAATCTATTTTCCACCAGTCATGCAGTAGCTTTGTGGGTTTACTTCTTGTTTTGACTAATGCATATCAATAGACACTTTGAACAGCGTCCAGAAACATGGTTTTAGCGTAACATTAGCCTTTGACAGTGGATTCTAAGCTCTAACCAACATTGCCTTAGCCTTTAGTCACATGCTGCAGGGCTGACTCATTCATTGGCTTATACATAAAATGGCAAATATCTAAACCATCTCACAATATTAACTTTTATTTGCTGCGCTTGCACTCTGCACTTTATGACCTCAGGCCGTCGCACTGTACTCTTCTTTAGGGCGACCTGATCAATGGCGTGAGTGACAAAGCAGGTGCTTGGTATGCCGCGTGGCGAATGGGCAGGGTCACCGCGTGATTAGCATATCGCCCGAACGTGTCGATCACAGCCGCGTGTCTTTACCCTTTTCATCTACCCGCTGATCTGTCTTCATTTGTGTCTGCGTACAAAAGGTCTGGCTTGCCTTTAAAATGATCCCACAAAAGGTCAACGTGCTTCATAGGCTTCAGTCTGGGAGAGAGGAGCCGTTGCAGTACTTTGAATATCGCATCTCAGCATTTCAAAAAGCCATGACTATGCATAAGACACCTGCACAACGATCCCACCAGAGACGTGTATCGCAGACCTCCTGAAGGTTCTTTTAATATCCTCGGGGAATTGGCCGACAGGGGGGCGGGCTGCAAAGTAAAACACACCATCATTAAGTGTCAAGAGTAATGAGTCGTGTGACAAGCGAGTGGGGATAAGAACAGACCTGAGAAACAACTGTTTTAACTGGGACAGCCTTAGCTTAGGTCCAAACTCCTCCAACTGGAATACTCAGAGGACAGGGCAGAGATAAGGAAAAGAGTTGATTGATTTGACTTTATTCAAGTTTAGTTTAGTTTAGTTTATTTATTTAGGATGCCAGGGACAGTGCACAATTAACATTAACCTCAAAGGGAAAGATGCATTGTACCAGGTTATAGTTCAAGAGCTAATTTCCAGCCGTAATCCGTGGGCAGGCTGATGTTTTAATATGACATTAAAAATAACGGACATTCATGAATGTACCGTCCTCATGTGCACAATTTGTTAAAACCTCACATTCATATCGATCATTTATACTTGTCAAACACACACACACACTCTCTCTCTCTCTCACTCACACGTAATCAACCAACCAAGGTGATCATTAGTAGCTGTTACAACTATTTGTTTAGTTACTTACAGTAGGTCCCATTTCGCTTTGTCGCCTTTCACGCGTGAATCACACGAGACTCACGTGTTATTCACGCGTCTTTTATTTATTTTTTCCCCAGTGATGCTGCAATGACCCAAACAACCACCAGGTGGCACTTGTGAGCAGGGTTAGGAAAATTGGCTTCTCATCGGCCTTTCTTCTCTGTTCACCGGACAACTTTCTGTGGCTTTATAGCTCAATGATAAGGAGGTGGACTCTGGTGTGAGAGGACTCGGGTTCAAGTACAGTCTATGACACTTTTGATTTTGTTGACGTTTACATTTTTTCTAAAACATACTTAGTAATTAGGCCAACACATTTAAAATAGTTGCTAGACTGTAGTAAACTGTTGTAAACTTCACAATCTGCACCAACCAAACTGCAGGAAAAAAATGCAATTTTATTCAGTAACGGAGTAATCTGATTCATATACTACCCCCGCTAATAAAAACTGAGGGTTGACCGGGGCTCGAACCCCGATCGCCCAAAGGAAAGTCTTGGACAATCCCACTACGCCACACAGGCGTTGGAGAAATCACTTGATCTAATAGAAAAGAGCGCTGAGTGAATGAGCCGTGCGTATGTGCGGGACGCTTAAAATGCCTTATATGCAAGTTAATGCAAATGTTTGCCATATGATCTGCTACTCCTGTGCATTTTAGAATTCCTAATTAATGGTAGCTATATGTAACATGTGTAGTTTAAATTTTTGTATTGCTAATCAAAGTAAAAGTATTCTGAATACAGTGTACACTCGTGTTTGTTTTGTTCCAATGTTTCATGTTCAATAACGCACTTGCTGCTGGCTATCCCATACTGTAGAAGAAGTCAGAAAGGAACTTTTGAGAAGAAGTGTTTTTATTAAAAAATAAGAAGTAAAAATAAGTAATAAAGTAAAATACAATTGTATTGTTACAGTACTTACAATACAGTGCAGTAAGTTAGTACAGTGTTTTACAGAGTCAATCCTTTAAACTTTAGCATTCAGTAGCGACACTTTTAAACATAAAACACATTCTCACGATATTGCTAATACAAATTTATGATGGGGGGAAAACGTTCTTTCTCCGTGTTTTACAAATATAATGGAGTTGGCTGATGATTGTCTGCTTAGTTTGTGAACTGTAACTGTATTGAACTAGATTGACCAGGGCTCAGGTCCACAGGAATGTCGAAAATCCAGTTCATCTTCACATATGCAAAACATCTTCACATAGCCTATCACTCAGGCGAGCAAAAACCGAGCACGTTTTCTCCAGTGTTAAATAAAAAATACTTAGTAATTAGGCCAACACATTTAAAATAGTTGCTAGACTGTAGTAAACTGTTGTAAACTTCACAATCTGCACCAACCAAACTGCAGGAAACAACGCAACTTTATTCAGTAACGAGTAATCTGATTCATATACTCTCCCCGCTAATTATTCAATTATTCAATTAAATTATTATTAACGTATTTAGTTTCTCCATATTTTTAATCATTCATTTGTCATGATTTCCCTGTGCATGTTAAATATAACAGACATTTCCATAAAATCTTAAATAGTCTAATCTAATTTAAACATATAACCCAGAATTAAACCCTCCTATATCAGTGTTCACCACCTGACAGCAGCTTGTGTCCTGCTACAGATTCTTCTTTGCTTCTTTTAAGCAAAAGATAGAGATAGAGATTTAACATTTTAACATAAAGCGTATTTTCTGAATAAGAAAACACTATAATAGTATGAAAGCTCAGTGAGGTACAATCCTAAATCATGAAGTGAAAGGTGTGGGAGCTGAGTGAGGCCACAAAGTATTTGGACATATCCTGATAAAACTTTTGCCAGGAAGTGGATTAAAGACAAACCAGGTTTATTTTTGGGAAGACTAGAAATGTAACTTTTGCTATTGTTGCCTCTGTCCTTGGTGCTGTTGCTGAGGATACAACATTAGCATACTATTACAAGTTGCTTTTGAACTCCAGAAAAGTAACAGCAAAGTCAAAGTGTGCTTCTTTCTTTGTTCCTTAACTCTGTATTTTTCCTCAGCTCCTCTGGTGGACTCCAATTCCATCCACAGTGGTCCGGCCATGCTCATGCTGCTCAGCGTGGTCATAGTGGGGGTCGCAGCCTTCTTCATCTACAAGTTTAAAAGGTGCCTTTAATGTGTATTTACTAAAGTTTTGCACACAGCGTGGTGCCAACATAAACATTTTATTACATTCATTATTACGAAACCAGAAAATAAAAGCGTGCATTTTAATGTTTGGAGGTTTGTACTGCGAGGTTTTGAATATAGAAAATTACATGCAGCGTTTATGTCGTTTTCAACAGTAGTACATCTGTTTTCTGTTCCTTAAGTGTAGCAGATCCACAAATGCTCTGTGACTGCGTTTTCACTTTGTCACTGTGCGAGGTGCAGGACATCCATTTGAAGCAACAACTATCACTCCAGCTCGTCCAATCGATCATGCTGTGGATTCAGAAGGATACAGAAGGAATCACACACAGGCCACTTCCTCTCTTTGCCTTGACTCTTACAAATGTGAAATTTTTTGTGAATGCCTAAAAACGTACACAAATTCACCGCAGTTTTGTTTGTGAACTACAGGCCATTAGTGCATGCCCTGCAATACCAATACTATTTTAGTTTTTTCTGATTTGTAAACTGTGGTGATAGATTTTGAGCATAAAATATAATCTAGTTTGAGGTTTGAGACCTTGATACAACATGGTGGTGCAAGCAAACATATTACTTTTAATATGTAAACATATTACATTTTACTTTCATGATTTTGAGCAAAAAAGATAAGTGATCTCGTAGTTAGCATGTGTGCAACAGCTCTTCTCTCCTCAGTGTGATTCCCTCTGGGCAAAAACAGTCCCTTTGGTCCAAAAGCCTCATTTCTTCCCTAAATATACACTAATCAACAGGCTGGTCTTTACTGTTTTTAACTGTTTTTTAGCCTTTTGATTACATGTGGCTGAAGAAGGTGGAGAAAGTTATACGACTACACACAAATCACACACAAGGGATTTCACTTTGCACAACAACAGTGTAACAAGAGTGAACCTCTTACCATCAAAGTCTTTATGAAGTTCTTGTAAAAAAAAAAATCTTAAAATTGTTTTATATTACTCCATGTGGATGATAGATTTGCCGTAGTCCATTATTATGTTATTTACTCTGGTCCTGCTTGACTTTACAAGACTGACATTCTTTTAAGACCCTTTTAATTGGACACGTTCTCTCTTCTCTGTGGTGAAAAGCCGACACGGGTCCAAACAACACGTCAACCTTTGCCAGCAGTCTCCCAGGTCGACACAGCATTTCAACATGGGTCCACAAACACGGGTCTGCAGAGTCAAAACACCTTGAGATTGCCATAAGCCAAGGGTGTCAAAGTCATGCTCCTGCGTGGTTGGAATTAAAACCTGCAGCTACACTGATCCTTTGGGGACCGATTTGACACTCCCACCATTCCCTTCCATAAGCAATTGGATTTTTATGTATATATTTATTTATTGACTGGAGTAAAAACTGATTTGAAGTTAGGAAGTGACTCTATTCACATATTCAAATATTCCCATATTTCAGTTCTTAATCTTGAAAAGCCTCCAAAAAAAGATTTAATGGAATGTTTAAGGGCCAGAAATTGTCCAAATGCATAATGTCCTGTAAGTCACACCCCCTCCCCCTCTTCATGAAAAGCTCTGTAGTCTATCATTTATTCATGTCACACTCAGGAAAATTCCTTGGATCCACGTGCAGACCGAGGACACTCAAGAGAAGGAGCCAGAGGTGATCAGCACAGTCAGCCCCAGCGACAACATGTCCAACCTGTCCGCCATTCCCAAAAACGTCCCCAAGATGACCACCTGTATGTCCAGTATGCCCCCCACCATGTCCTCCACCATGCCCAGGGTGAAGCTCAGCGACTTCCCTTGTCAGAAGGAGCTGCTGGAGAAGGAGCTGGAGGCCCGCAGTCGAGGTAACGTCTGCATATTTACAACCCTCCCTACACCAAGACTGCGTTTAGAGCCTACACAGGGATTTATGTCACTGCGTCTTCATTCCAGGTAAAAAGAACTTTCCGCTTTTTGACAGGGGAAGACAGGGCTACAGATTAATAAACTCCTGGGCGCTAATGCTGGATTTATACTGCCTTTGCCAGTATATTGCTGATTAACGTTTTTTTATTGCCCTAAAAACACATCACCCAGCATCTGCTCTGGATACGTTTTAGAGGAGTCGTCATACGCAAAATCACAAAAAGCTTTTTTAATGTTACAAAATTGTTCCTTGTCAAAAACAGACCTGGAGTTGTTTTTAGATCCTTCACTAAAAGCAGGACATGAAATCCCACCCCTCTTATCTTAAAGCTCACGTTTCATTTATGGACATTGATCATCCAGCTCCCTGTGTATTTGTTATTATTGTGCTTCCTGTGTTCGAACTGAATAATTTTATTGGTTAGGGTTTTTTTTAGGTAACAAAAATATATCCCATTATTTCATTTTTACATTTTATCAGGTGAAATTACATTCATTGCAATCACATTGCAATGCTTGCAGCTGGTATTTTTCAAATTTGGATAAAAACAAATTCATTTAACCTAAAGGAGTAGGGCAGGCAGATTTCTTTTTTTTTATTATACTTGACTTGTTTAACCATATATTTTCTACATAAGATATTATTTCACATTCTAAAACATGAAATGACAAAGTGCGTTGTCTCATTGTCTTTATGCCCATTAATAATGCGTGATATTCCTTCTTTAAGTTTCTCAAGAAAACACCAGCGCTGCACCTCTCCTACATATATATTCAACTGCTCACGTCTAATATTTTTACCAGATATTTCACCGCCGCTTCAAGGCAACTTCTCAGCTTGACGAGTGTGGATTTTTTGATGGCTAAGACTGGCATGGCCCTTGACGTGTTTTGGATGAATTACTTTGCGTTGACAAAAGCAGCGCGGCGGTGATCCTTCAGACATTAGGGCCTCTACAGCAGCTTGGTGCGTTTGTGGTCACTCAGCAACTTTGGCGATTCCAGACTCCTCAGCACCTTTCCGCCTCGATGTGAGACAAATGAGGCGCGTTCAGGAGCCATCAGAGGTGTTTATTTACAAAGCGAGCAGCAGCGAGGGGGCTTTGATTGGAGGCCCTTTAGATTAAAAATAATTGACGGCCCGCTGGTTGGAGATTGCATTAATGCGCAGGGCTCGGCAGGGCTCTTGTTGAGGCTGATTGGGGCGCAGGACGAGAAGGTTCATTGGAGTGTGGAGTGTTTACACTTGAGCCGTGTTATGCAAGAATCCTTTGTCACCACTGGGAAGGCGAAGAACAATGGTTTGTGCTGAAACAAGTTACTGATTGTGCAAGTTCATAAATAATAATGCATCGGTTTAATAGAGCACATCACGTTATCATTATTCATTTACTCCATACACGGTGGTGATGAATTACTGCTCTAGCCACAGCTGCCCTGGGGCACACTGAAAGAAGCAAAGCAACCAGTATGTGACTTCTGCCTCCCTGACCACCACCAATAATGCACACACCAGACTCATTTCCTTTACAGCAGCAGCCGCCCCACTGTGGCACCTGGTGTTCCCAGAGGTCTCCCGTCACAGTGCTTACAAGGTCCTGCCCTGCTTCGCGTCAGAAGTCTGATGGGATCTGGCTTTCACATGCAGGTGGTGACACAAATCTACAAAAATGTTATTCCACTTATGAGAGGGTTTCTTAATTTTCATCAAAGGGTCGTGTGACAGAATATGAAAAATTAAATGTATTGGAAAATACACAGCACACTCGGATAGATGTCCAAAAGTCTAGTATTTATTACGTTTCGGCCTTAGCCTTCGTCAGATCATTTTTATCTTATTCATTTGGATCACAATATACAAAATGGTGCCAACCCAGGTGCTATAAGCCCCTTCTAACGAGTGGGAGGTCCCAGTGTGGTGACACCCAGTGAATTCAGCCAGTCTAAAATCAAAAAGCAGAATTAATACATAGAAGAAATCAACTTATAAAATGTATACAGATAATCATAAGAAACATCTGAGGTCAAAGTCCACATTTAGTCCAGAATATGAAAAATTATCACATTGTATAACATATTGATTAACATTTATTGAAAAAAGGTTCAACTCAAACATTTCTTCACCAGGTTCACTGGAGCTGATATTTTGGTCCTTTCTTCCTAGCAGATCTTCTGGAGAGCTGGCAACACAGACTGCCTCCTCAGATGTTTTGTTGGGTTCAGGTCTGGAGTTTGCCTTGGTCGTTCCATGACCTTGAATGGTTGCTTACGGGGCGTTAGAAAGATGTGCAGTGGGTTGTGAAACAATGTGAACAGTGGGTTCCGGTCATGGATCTATAATAATAACTGGATAGGGTATTACTAGCTTACAGCTGTCCCACCCACAGGCACAGGGGGCGACCGTGGTACTGCAGACTTTTAGAGTCCCTTGTCATCCTGAAATTTTTTTCTTCTTAAATCCTTCTGTTTTCTTTAAATCTTTAAAACACTTTACTGCCACAAACTCTGCTCCTTTCCTTCCCGCTCTGACTCCGCTCTGCTGCTGTTCTGATCAGCAGCTCTGATTGGTCAGACCGCGGCCGAGCCCCTCTGTGCACGTGCATGAGAGCCACACACCCGTATTTGGCACAACGCATCATGGGAGCTTGTCACTGCGCAGAACCGGGAGGACCAGACGATGCCCAAATATAGGCGAGTTCTGCTAATCTCCCGGTCTCAATGAAGTCTCATGCGCTACTGAGCACAAGCCATTCATTTGAATAGGGCGCCATCTTGGATCACCGGGGCTTGGTTCCGGTTCCATTTCTCTATTAATGTGGTGGGAGGGAAAGACAAAAAAAACACAGATGCAGCCAGCGAAAGTTCAATTTGGTAGACGTCAGCCAAAGGTAACCCCTCCAGGCCGGTTCTCATCCCCAGCCTATTGCACGGCAAACGCCCCCTTCCAATCACCGGTCCAGCCAGACAAGCTGCTTAAAAGCGGAGGAACTCCCATTCTCGGCCTTCTCGAAGCCTGCATAGAACCGTTCTGGAGGAATCGCTTGTCTACTCACGCTTACTCGTTGCATGTGTCCCTGCTGTCCTCTGTCTTGCTGCGTGTGGTCCGCTCCTCCTCCGCGTCGCTGCACCTGCTGCGGGTCTCGTGCTGTGGTCCGTGGGTCTTTGCCGCTCTCCTCCTTTGCGGGCTCTTTCTGCGGGTCCGCCGCTGCTTGTCTCGTCGCGACCTGCTGCTGCATACGGCCGGTCTGGACCGGTGCGGTGGGAGCCGTGCGCATCCCTGCCTCCTCGTGCCGGTACGGCGTGGTCCCGTCGTGTTGTCCCTTGTCTTCTGGCGTTGTGGGTAAGTATGAGACCTGCGGACGGTTTATTCCCCTCGCATTGTACTACAGGCTCAGTTGGCCCCGTGCATTGGTGTGCCAGCTTCATTTTAAAGCCCTCGCATTGTTCTGCAGGCTCTCTTAACCAAGCTCCGTTTAAATCCTTCACTCTGACTGCAAGCTCCGTTATTCCTCACATTGGACTGCAAGATCTCTTTTAATCCCTCACATTGGACTGCGTGCTCAGTTTTAATCCCTCACTTTGGCCTGCAGGCTCTGTTTAAATCCCTCTCTTTGGACTGCAAGCCCCGTTTAAATCCCTCTGGACAGAAAAAGAAGAAAAATATGGTTCTGCTCATATCTGGAACGCTTATATATAAAAATAAATAAATATAAATATGAATAAATATAAATAAATAAATAAATAAATACATAAATAAATAAATTAAATAAACTGCAGGCTCTGTTGGATCCCTCACACTGGACTATAGGCTTTCGGTTAAACTCCTCACTTGGACTGCGGGTTCAGTTAATCCCTCACTTGGACCGTAACAACTGTTAAATCCCTCACACTGGACTGCAGCTCTCGGTTTAATCCCTCACTCGGACTTCAAGCTCTCAGTTATAAATCCCTCTTTTAGGACTGCGGGCTATGTTGAATCCCTCACCTGGACTACAAGCTCTCAGTTTAATCCCTCACCTCGGACTACAGGTCGTTTAACTCCCTCGCACCGGACTGCAGGCTCTCCGTTAGACGCCTCACTTGGACTGCAGGCTCAGTTTTAATACCTCACTTTGGACTGCAAGCTCTATTTAAATCCCTCACATTAGACTGCAAGCTCTGTTTAGGTCCCTCGGCGTCTCGTGTCCCGCAACCTCTTCCCGGCTCTCCGTGAGCCCCAAGTCGGCACGCGGCTCGGGCGCGGGAGGTGTCCGTGGGCTACGTCATCGGCCCCTTCTCTCCGTCTCGCTCTAACCCGATGGGCATCGCCACCCGCAAGCACTCCAGGAAGAAGCGTCTCATACTCGTCCTCTCCTGTCCCCGCTCCGGGCCCGCCCGAGCATCCACAGCCCCTTCCCTCCAGCGCCCTTCTCCCTGCAGTCCGCTACCGTGGACCACGCGATCAGGCTGCTAAAGACTTTCGGCCCCGGCTCCTGGCTCTCCAAGGCCGTCATCCCGGTCGCGTTCAAGCTGCTGCCATCCACCTCGACCACTGGCGCTGTTCAGGGGTCAAGTGGCGTCGGAGTTCTTTCTTCGCAGTGCGCCTCACCTTTGTCTGCCGGAGTAGTCCCTCTCTGTTCAACAATCTCTCGGAGGCGCCGTGTCTGTTTCTGCTTAATTACGCGCGGCTCCCCTCTGTCTGCATTTCCCCGATAATTCTGAGGTGTATCTCTTTTTTTTTTTTTACAGTGACATCATTCTGTCTCAGATGCCCCGCGGTTCTTCACGGACGCAGCCCCGTCCGTGGGTTTTGGGGGTTTTCCAGGACCAGTGGTTCGCCGGGCCCCGGCCCGACGCTTTCCCTCGAAGCATCTCCTCCGCGCTCCACGAGATATATCCCATGACCGTAGCCTGCGTGCTGCGGAACCATACGTGGCATAGGAAAGGATTTCCGTGACGTGCGACAACCTCGACGTCATTGAAATAATTAACAGAGGTCGTTCATCCTCTCCCCAAATCACATCCTCCTTAGACGCATCACATGGCTCTCAGTCTCGAACAATTTATCATCACTGCTCGTCACGTCCCTTGTCACCTAACTGTCTTGCTGACTCTCTCTCTCGCTTTAAATTCCAGGAGTTCTGACGCCTTTGCCCTTCTGCCAATCCATCGCCATGCCAGATCCCCTGCACGGAATCCCTCGCCCCGGCCTAGTCCCTCCGTCTCTTCACCTTCTCTCCTCCGCTGCATCCTACATGAAAATGGGCTTCTTACGCATAAGCGAATTCACAAACTCTCACGCCACCTTTAAATGCATCCCGAGACATTGCCTTCTCTGACCTGTCATATTATCCCGACTACTTCAACCTCCACCTCAAGCATTCCAAACGCAAAGGCGCTTGCAATATAGTCATAGCTCGGTCTGACACTTCTCCCTGTCCCACAGATCCATGATGCATTACACTCGCCTCCGCTCTCGGAAAGGAGATCTCAACGGACCGTTATTTCTTACCCCCGATAACCTCCCTATGTCCTCCAACTGGTTCAGAGCCCAACTCAGGTCCGTACTGCTGCTTTGTAAACTGTCTCCCCATCTCTACACAGCCCACTCCTTTCGGATAGGCGCCGCCACGCGCGCCGCGTCCCTGGGGCTCCCCCATTCCGCCCTCCAGCAGCTGGGCCGCTGGTCATCATCGGCCCTCTCCTCATGCATCAGGCCTGACACTTCTTCCATCCTGGCAGCCCAGCGGCTTTTGGCATCTTCTTAAAATGCTCGCTAAACTTCCTGGTGGCGGCAGCAGCTGAGGATCCGCAAGTTTGGTCACAGTAGATAGCGGTCACAGCATATAGTGATAGCGGTCACAGTATATAGCGATAGCGGTCACAGTATATAGCGATAGCGGTCACAGTATATAGCGATAGCGGTCACAGCATATAGCGATAGCGGTCACAGTATATAGCAAAAAATGGTTAGCGCGCGATGGTCGCGACTCGTCAGCATATAGCGATAGCGGTCACAGTATATAGCGATAGCGGTCACAGTATATAGCGATAGCGGTCACAGTATATAGCGATAGCGGTCACAGTATATAGCGATAGTGGTCACAGTATATAGCGATAGCGGTCACAGTATATAGCGATAGCGGTCACAGTATATAGCGATAGCGGTCACAGCATAGAGTAGTCTCAACGTCTGTCCCCTCCAAACCAGGCTGCAAAACTCCATCAACTCACAACCTTTTTGGGGATTGGCTCGCTCCTTCGCATGGAGGCCCTCCGATCCGAAGGCCGCACCGGGGCCTAGGGCGCCAAACCTCCTCCCAATAAAATACTCAAAGCTTCTTGTTTCTCGTCTCTCCAAATTGAAATGAGATTATCTACACTGTATGTATGAAATAAAGTCTGGTTTTGGTGTCTCTAAATAATAAATAAATACAAAATAGTCTAACCAAAATGTAGAGTAAATAAAATAATTACAGAGGATCGACTGCAGAAATGAATCGCTATAACCCCCTTTGGAAAAATACCACGCCCTGTAAGTGATTTATGAAGCAAATCAAAAGTATTTCTATTCTTTTCTAGTTTGCAGCATTTGTGGAGTGTGTTGCATGCACTGCTCTTTTGAGGCTAATCCACAGATTCCCAGTTGCTGTGTTCACGGCTGGAATCATTCTTGCTTCTTCCCATGAATGTTTTCTTCCTCAACCCTAACAGTTCATCGAGATCATATCATGAAAACAACTTTCTTTGTCCCTTGTTAAATTTTGCCCAAAAATCAGACCTGGCGAAAACTTAATTATTTTGATGTTTATTTTTATGGGACTAAAATAATGCCAGAACAGCACCACCTACAACAGCCAATTTAATACCCCTATGGGAGGGTTCGAAGTCAAGTTTGTCGTAGAGCCACGAAACTCGGTACACAGTGTTTCTCAAGTCAAGACATGAAAAAAAAGTTATTATGGCCACGCCCCCTGACAAACAGGAAGCCCATAAATTTCATTGCAAAATGGAAAAATGAACGGCAATAATTTTCACACGTGTCGGTTGGAAAGCGACTCCTCCTCGGCCGTTTCACCAATTGGCCTCAAAATCGCTCCACATCATCTCAACACATGTACCTTCAAAATGACTTCAGGGAATTTTGATCAGTGAAACGTTATTTGAGCAGCAGAGCGGCAAAATGAAATGAAAATTAGCTCCCGTTTGCACATAGAAAGTCCAATTTGCCCAAAACTTTAATCCATTGTTGAACTCTAGGGTCGAGGTCATTTCAAAGTGAATATAATTGAAATTGCAGCATTAGCGCCCCCTACAGACTGAGTCAAGTATTACATGGGCAGAAAACTTGATCAAAATGTTTGAAATTTTGAACATAATTCTGTTTTGCCATTGTTGTGGAAATTCTGTACAGACCGAGAGAGGAAAATAATGTAAACAACCAAGAGCTGCAAAACAATCAAACTGTGAGTTTATTCATTTGTAAATTAGGAAATACAACTGTCGACCGCGTGGCAGGTCTCGAGTAGATCTGCTGACTATGCTCACTCTCTCCCGTATTTATAGGATGGAACAAACAAAAGAGTTTATCTGTGGCGTCTCTGAGTCCGAGTTTAAGTGATAACTGTCGCTCAAACCCCCTCTCTCCTGACGTCTTACTCTGATATAACTCTGATATTACGAAGAATGGTCAGTATGACCGGTGACCACGCTCCTCTCCCAGATATCAAGCTAGTATCTGCCTCTTTTGTCTGAGCCATGGGTTTGTCTTGCCAGTGTTAAGCTTCATCCATCCATCCATTTTCTTCCCCTTAATCCATTTCTGGGTTGGGGGGGTAGAAGTCAGAGCTGCACCCAGAACGCTTAGCACCAGCCCCTCACTGATCCTCCTGCAGATGGTGAGTCCACAGGAGTTGAGAGATTTCAGTGGGGCTTCAGGCAAAGTGGGGTTAAGTGTCTTGCCCAAGGACACAACGACAGCAGTCATCAGTGGGAGTCATGATGTAGGTCTTACGGTGGGCTCGAACCCATGACCTCCAGGCTCAAAGGCTAATGCTCTACCAACTGAGCCACTGTCGCCCCTGTGTTTAGCTTCAGTCTATGTGAAATAATATAAAATAATAATGGTGGTCTCCATCTACCTCTACTCATGGGTTATCAGTTTGAGTTTCCAAAACACTCCTCTCCTCTCCGGCCTTGGAGAGCAGATAAGAGCATTTTGCGTCTGTCTGCTCTCCTCTATGTGCAAATCTTTCACCTATGGCCTCACTAACTAATTATTCTATGTTGGACATACTGGAAACACAAACATATTATTCTAAAAAAAAAAACAATATCCTAAAGATCAAATAAACTTAAGTGTTTTGACGATTGTGTATCAAGATGAAAACTCATGGAGACCTTTTTTAAAACAAAATGTTTTAATCGAGAAGGACAAACGATGGCCTATCATCCAAACACATGGCCTGTGGGCTAATTGTGGTCCGCCAGACATTTTAGTGGCTTCTGCGACGGAAAAACTTCACATTTTCTCCTGCTTTGAGACTGGGTATGGCCTATTGTAACTCCACCGGCGGAAGAAATTACAACTCCTAATAACCCGAAGCGTCAAATTAAAAACACCAGGATTTGGCAAACTATAATAAAACACAAAAAGATTAGAATACACACTAAATTAAAAGTGAAGTGAAGTTTTGGTTTGGGTGCTGCGTTTTGGCTAAATGAAACCGCTATCTGAAAAAGACTAGCTTTCTGTTTGACCAAAATCATGAATCAAAAAACAAAACAGAAGTACAGATTACCGTATTTTTTTAGATTATAATTGCAGTTTTAGTCATAGTTTGGCCGACAAAAACTAGTTTGGTTCTCTAAGCTAAAGTTATTTGAACGACCCTTACCGTGAAATGTTACGTTTACGAACCAGGCACGTTCTCAGTTCATTGTTTATGCGTCACATAACGTACATTTATTCAGCCTGTTGTTCTCGCCTTTTAAGATGAAATGTCTATTCTGACTTCTACTCGAATTATATGTCTTTTTAAATGTTTTGCATTTTCAGCTGGAGCGTCTTAAAAGCTTGAAAAATACGATACATATATTTTTGTAATATTATTCTATGGGAGTCATGTGACCACATAGTTTCCTGGATATTTAAATGGCCGACTTTTAATAAAACAAACAAATCTTGTTTTATTTATGTACTTGGCTTGTGCACACTGGGGACTTTTGCAAATGTATTCCAATGTGGTTTTACTGCAAACGTAGCCTGGTCATACCACACCTTAGTACAAATTACATTTCGTACTAAGGTCTGGAGGTGTTCCATTGAGCTCTGTTTACAGGTGGGAGGGGTTCACCCCTTTTACAGATTGAAACGATTGGATCTGAGTTTACCGTGACGTATGTAATGCGTCCGAGTGAGTCGTTAGCATTTAGCCTAGCTTCAGCCATCTTCTTTGCTGCTAACGGTGGCCGTGGGGAGTAGCGCCACAATTTTTGCCTGCAATTATATTTGCTGAACATTCCTCTTGCTCCGGATTCACTTCCTTGATAGAACCAGACCGGATTACTTTATTATTGCATTTTTTGCCATTGCCAAACTACAACCTTCCTGTTCGACGCAAACTCTTGACGTCGCCTACAACTAACTACAACACCCGCCTCCCGCGCTCGCTGATTGGTCGGATGGAATTCAACCGATCGCTAACACATGGACCAGACCCAGAGAAATGACAATGGAGCGGAGTGTACTGATACTGCAAACGGCAAATCAAATGAATCTGATTTATCATATTTAGAGTCCAAAACTTTGATATGAGCCGGTTCAAAATCTTCTAACAAGCATTTTCTGGAGTTATATCTTTTGTCTGGTGATTAGCTGGAGTTGGGCGTGTTTGGCTCTGACTCAAAGACAGGGCCATCGGGACGCCGCCGAGGTGTTTCTGCGGTTATGAAGGTTGAGGAATGGATTCTGTGGCGCCCGTGGTCCCCGTGTCCCTCACTCGTGATTGGTGTGAGAGCAGCTGGAGATGAGGCGCCTGGAGCTGTGACCTGTGGCCCACAAAAGGAACCGATCGTATTTTTGGATTGGTGGATTCGCCGATGCGGGGGAAATGGCAGTGTCACTCGGGTTATTTCTGCTGCATCAGAGCGCGTCACTTGGTGTGTGTGATGTGATCAACAGGTGGATATTGCGAAGATAAAGCCAAAAAAAAGGATGGATGCAGTTCTGAGACTGCACAATCATGCGGGAAAAATAACAATCAAACTTGTGGCTATTAGTGATGAGGGGCCAAATCAATTCTGTTCAGTATCTCACACTGGTAATATATGTAGTAGTTTATGTTTCTTTTTTATGTTAATTTTTTGCTACTCTAACCTATTGTATTTGAATAATTTAAGTTATGTGCTGGGAGCTCACATTCATGTGAGAGGTATTCTTTTCAGAATAACAATGTCTTGTCTGTAATAAGGTCCTTAATGTCCAAGGATAAAGTTGTTGCACTATTCTCCCAAGTCACTTCAGTTAAAGTGCAGACCATTATAAGTAAATAACCTCTGAATGATGAGGGACATGAATCACAATGGCTGAATTGGATCGCAGTACTTGCTGTATCACAATACGTTAAGTATCATAATAATATTGAATTGTGACCCAAATATTGCTATACTATTGAAATGTCACATTTTTGTGGCCATGTGTGGATACTTCATTGGAAAGCTCTATTTCAGTCATGTCCAAACCAAGGCATACATGGTTTGGACATGCCTCTACCGCGAACAAACTATCCACAGAAGTACTTTCACAGTGTCATTCAGCAACTTTACTTGCACTTTACTTTACTTTACCGTACTTATACAGTCATGCTGTGTACCTGAATGTAAGACACAGAACCTCCGGAATCCAGTTGTTAACTTGTACATACTGACATATCTTTTTGGTTGTGTCACAAAATGACACTAATTTCGCAGTGGTGTGAATCTATATGGACCATGTTTAAAGCTCAGAACAGCAAGAATCCAGTCATGGATCCAGAGGAGACAAATGACGTGTCTTTTATCGGCTAGTCTGAGGTCTCAGGAGAAGTGAGTCCCAAGTGTGAGTCAAAGATGAAAGCCCCATGGTCTCTGTTGATGGTCCGTGCAGCCTGCTTCTTGAATTCAATTGTCTCCTATCCATCTTTTGTATTTATATTCTTCGGTTCCTACTATTTTGCATTGTCCTTGTCCATTATGTGAGGGCGCAGTCGACATCAACAGTCCATATGGGATGGGGGGAGTTGTTTTATTGCAGAGGATGAAGGGGGTAGGAGTGAAAGGGCCGAATTTTCTGATTATGGAGAATGAGAGCAATGGTGGTGTTCCCAAAAAGAGACAAAGCTTCTATTAAAAGTAAAGTATTTTTTAAATAAAAATACAAGAATAAAGTTGTAAAAGTTATCCAAAAAGTCCTTTGTTAAAACCTAGGAACCTCTGGTGTGGAGGCTCCGTGGGGATTGCCCCAATGGCTGTGGCCGAAAGAAGGCCAGAGGCCGCTCGACGGCGCTAGTCCCCAGTGCGTATGGCGCACACCGCTCCGGACCATGGGCTGGGGCTTCTGGGGGGAGAGAGCACACCGACAGAACACAGCTCACGTATATAAAGCCAGAGGCTATTAGGGTTAGCGTCTTGAAACGCTACTTACTGCGCAGGCGGGGTATGAGCCCAGCCGCTGCGTGTAGGTCGCTTCGCGGTACGTCTCCTTGGTGCTTGAAGGGACCCGATCGTGGTTTTCTTCCGTGGCTTCCCTTTGCTCGTGGTTCGTCTCCGTGGCTTCCCTCGGCTCGTGGCTCTCCTCTGCTCGCGACTTTACCCCGTGGCTCGGGGGTAAAGTCGGTTGGGAACAGTCAGGTGGTCGGGTCATTAAAAGCACAGCAAACACACACAGCAATACAAAATAAACACAAAAAAACACAGTGCCGGCTTACATATACATTTACAACGTGCGTTTAAAACTGAGATTCCTGTTTTCTGTTCATCACTTGTTTCAAACAGACTGAACCTCAGAGCAGAGTGGCTCCAAAGACATTTTACATTTTGTTTTGGGTGAAAAGGATTAATCCAAGCGCAACAAGTCGGAATGATGTCCTCTGGGTGTAAGTCTGCCAGTAATTTGGTGTGTGATTTTGAAATGAGTGGGAATAAAGTGAAAAATCATACGCAAACAATTGTTTCCAAATTAAAAGTTAAAACAAAGAAGAGCAACAAGATGAAAAGAGCTTTCTAACACCAGGAGAAGCAGAAGTAGGTTAAAGGTTTGAGGCTGAAGACTCCTGAATGATGCATGACAGGAACCAATATAACATCTCCACGGCTCACGTTCAAATGATTTGATTCAAATTAAGTTATTTTTCTATTTAATTGAGACGCGTCAGTCGTTGTCAACTAATTCCAGCAGTGGATGAATCATATTTTGAACCTTACACAGACTTAAACATGCTGAGGTTTTAGGACTCTGATCATTCTGATGTCTTTACAAAATGTCTTCAATCAAACCCAAATGTCATCTCTGTGAACATGTTCTCCAGGGCCTCACCAGAGAGGGCTTGATGAAATCACATGTGAAATCCTGATCCAGTCAGACCTTTGGATCTAAGCAGATCAGAGCCTGGCTAGTACTGCGATGGGAGACCTCTGGGAACACCAGCTGCCACAATGGGGTGGCTGCGGCTGTGAATTGCCAAACTGTTGTTGAGTCACCCACATTGTGTAGAATGAGTCTGGTTAGTAGTGGTCAGAGGGGGAGATGGAACAGATTAGCTGCCTTTCTCTCATCGGTGTTCCCCAGGGCAGCTGTGGCTCCAGTTGTAGTTACACCACAGTAAAAGGAGTAAATGAAAAATGCCATCTTTGGGTGTCACAAAAAGTGCTTTAAATACTCTGCCTCATCATTACAGCGCTGATGTTTACTGATGACACCTGCGCTCCCACTGACCTGACCTGGTTCTGGTTTTCTATAGGAACGTTGGGCCGAAAAATGGAACCATTAATTAGTTTTATTTGTGTTTGCAGTATAACTGCAGGACTATAAGCCACTACTTTGTAACAGTTTCTTTAACCCTGCAGCCTTTGATGCAGTCAGAGTATGTTGTTTTAAAGAATGACCTGAACTTAACGTCTGTTTTTCCTTTTCCAGGAACGTTGGGCCGAAACATGGACCGAATTGTAACCAGGGAGTTCCCCAACTGTACCAACGTGTAAGACACTCACTGTACAAACTGTCGTGTTTGAACTGTGATAGACATTGTTGTTATTTATTATTGATATTTATAAAAGTTATTCATTTTATTGCATATATGCTATCTTTGGTATCAAGAGTCAGGGTTTGGCCATTACACTATGGACAATGAATGTCAAAAAATATATAAAAAAGACAAGATATATTTCATTTATAATAAAAAAATGACTGTTTTCAATATTTCAATAACACTTAGGAGCTTAGATTTTTTTTCAACTTTCATTTTACACAATGGAGGTGTAGTTTTTTACAGATACAAAATCAAGAGTGTCTTGCCGCGGCATTTACTGCAGTTGTACAAAACATGTGTCCACACTTCCTCTGGCCTCCACAGATGATACTGTAGAGTAGCACTGGTATTGTTTCCACACATATACTTTCATGCATATTTGTATTAAAGCTGGTGTACCTAACCTCTTTTGTTTCTGGCATAATTATATTTTGTTTGTTCCTACATAAATAGTCTTGTTTGACATTTTGAGAATAAATCCCACCACAACAGGTGGCATTTATCTTATTAGAGAACTTGTGATTTCTTACTTAAAGGTGTGTAAGAGGATTTTCCCAAATGTTAGGAAAGAACTGCCCTCTCCACTTTTTGATGATGATCCACCCGGGAGTAGAAAATCCTCCTGTACTTTTAAAGCTCTTTCGGTGTGAGGATTTAAAGATTTGACTAAGGCCAAAAACATGGGAAAACTAGTGATAGAAGCACACAGTGAGTCACTAGTGACATGAGTTTTATTTTTATTTTATATGGATGAACCAGGACATTTATGAACATATTATTGCATTTTCTGTTTTTCTGTCTATTAATCAATCTTTATTTCTAGAGCTTTTTTTATACAAAAAAGTGCTTCACAGTTCACATACAGTACTATCTGAACTTTGAACAATTGTAAAGCGCTTTGGGTGACCTTGGTCTGTAAAATGCGCTGTATAAATAAACTTTACTTACTTACAAACCAACAATCCAACAGACCTGAGGCAAAAAAAAAGAAAATAAACATTAAATAAAATAATCACAGTTTATTAAAAAGAGTGAAGATACAATCCAAGAAGCCTGTGTCACATTAAAAAGCAATTTAGCTGCTCCTCAGAGTCCCAGCAGGAGGCCAGTCCCTGTGCTCCTCAGAGTCCCAGCAGGAGGCCAGTCCCTGTGCTCCTCAGAGTCCCAGCAGGAGGCCATTCCCTGTGCTCCTCAGAGTCCCAGCAGGAGGCTGGTCCCTGTGCTCCTCAGAATCCCAGCAAGCGGCCAGTCCCTGTGCTCAGAGTCTGAGTTGGTTCGTATACCACTAACATATCACAGTGTTTCTTCTTGTGTTCTGTGATTCTCAAATGTGTCGGCGAATCGACAGCGTTGTAAAGTCCCCCGAGACGACTGCTTATAACAAAGAAAAGAAATTGTTTGTGGTTTCAAAGTCAGGTACCCCAGCTTTAATATTACCCCTTATCATATCTTAAGCTGTGAAAAGGGTTTGGGGAAAAGCCTTGTCCTAATGCACAACCCACACGTATGAGTCTATTTATACGATAAGTCAGAAGAGAATTGTGATTAGTTAAGTCCTTTCAGGCTCTAATTGTCATGATGTACGCTGAAGGGAACGGGGATGAGTTTAAATAGGCCATTCCAACTCGGAGCGCCGGATTACACTGACATTCACTGCCCTATAGTAGGCCGTCTCCCCTTCCGACTGTTTCGAAAAGGGAAAAACTGCACGATACGACACAGACTGTACGCGGCAGAAGAAGAATGTGACGCCTTGTACATAGACATAATCACAGAATGTAAATGGAATAACCTCACGTTTGTCGTAAAAAGTCGGATCACTCAAGTGTGCTCTTCGAATCCGTCCGTTTTCTCTTTCTCATCGGTTTTTCTACAGTCGCATGTGCTGACAGACTGAGACAGGGCACACACTGTACATACCATAGTGATTATTTTAGTCAGGGTTGATAGTCTTAGTCGTGCGGTCGCTCCATCTGTGCATGCTCCTCTGGTATTGGTCACTTTCTGTTTGCCCTGAAACCATTTCTGACTGTGAACAACTTCTTGCCATTTTGACAATGTTTCAAATAAATGTATTTTTATATTGAATTGTTTTGTTCTGTGTGTGTGTGTACTCGGAATAATGCAGTTGTATAGAAATGATTTAACATTGAACTTATATGATATTAACTTATCATAATATACAGGATAGAAAGATGTATTAGTACATTTTTATTTAATCTAAAATTTGTACTCTAACCAGAGACTGAAATTTCATGAGAAAGCAAATCCAGAGAAGAGTTTTATAATGTTTAATCATTTAACATAATTGAGCTCCAGGTTTAGTCACTATTTAGAAAATACATTGTTTACAAATGATTTTATCGTTAATCTGTGTTTGCATTTTCTGGTTTTCATGTCGACCTTGTTTGTACATAAAATAAAAAAATATTTAACATTGGAACTGGGATTTTAAAACATGAAAAAAAAGACATTTCTGTACCACATGAAATGACTTGTTGAGAGTTGTTTGCTAGTTTATTGTTTATTAATCAGGGTCAGGGTTGTATGAAGCCCTAATCCTGATTGTTGGGTTAGGCAATGTGAAACCAACACAAATATATGTTGCACCTTAGCTACAGCTGATTCACTGATTCTGTAATAATTATGAGCAGAAATGATCTGTAGACACACATGATAATTTTATTAATTAATTGAATCTTTTTACAACCTTAATTCACAACAGCACTTGTCTTGGAGGACTTTACAAAGTTGTCGATTCGCCAACAACAGATCAGAGAAGCAAACAGATCGAACACAGGAATTGCCACAATCACAAACAAAAAGGAGCCATTGGTCCAGAGAGCGAGTTTACCACTGTCTCTGAATGTTAGTAACTGTGCAAACACAACCTTACACAAGACTATAGATCCAGGACTGAGGCTGTGGATCCAGGACTGAGGCTCTAGATCCAGGACTGAGGCTGTGGATCCGGGACTGAGGCTGTGGATCCAGGACTCAGGCTGTAGATCCAGGACTGAGGCTCTAGATCCAGGACTGAGGCTGTGGATCCGGGACTGAGGCTGTAGATCCAGGACTGAGGCTCTAGATCCAGGACTGAGGCTGTGGATCCGGGACTGAGGCTGTGGATCCAGGACTCAGGCTGTAGATCCAGGACTGAGGCTCTAGATCCAGGACTGAGGCTGTGGATCCGGGACTGAGGCTGTGGATCCAGGACTCAGGCTGTAGATCCAGGACTGAGGCTCTAGATCCAGGACTGAGGCTGTGGATCCGGGACTGAGGCTGTGGATCCAGGACTGAGGCTGTAGATCCAGGACTCAGGCTGTAGATCCAGGACTGAGGCAGTAGATCCAGGACTCAGGCTGTGGATCCAGGACTCAGGCTGTGGATCCAGGACTCAGGCTGTGGATCCAGGACTCAGGCTGTGGATGCAGGACTCAGGCTGTGGATCCAGGACTGAGGCAGTAGATCCAGGACTGAGGCAGTAGATCCAGGACTGAGGCAGTAGATCCAGGACTCAGGCTGTGGATCCAGGACTCAGGCTGTGGATCCAGGACTCAGGCTGTGGATCCAGGACTCAGGCTGTGGATCCAGGACTCAGGCTGTAGATCCAGGA